TTGTCCCAAAATCTGAAAATTAGTGTGTAACATTAATAGTTGTCACTAAAACACATTCTCTGCAATTAAGTACACTTTTTGGCATTTTTGTGAAAAATATTGTGTCCAGCTGTTCAAAGCTGTGTTTGCTAGTCATGTACTGGCTAGTGTTTTTGACTTATGTTCAAATTCAGCTAAACTGTCACTGCTGAAACATTTGATCATATTTATGTAGTGTTATGATTGTTTTGGTGGTGATAAAATCAATGTTTAATTATTTTTTTAAATAAAATGAACATAATTAAAGTATAGGGTTATTTAAAGCGAGAAGATTTTCGTCTTAAGTCCAAGTCAGTTAAAGATCCAAAATGTGTTTTCAGCTCAATGACTCTATTAAACTGATTCAGTGTATGTTGTTGGGGGTGGGCTTTACACATACAAGAAGTATCAGTGCTATATTAGTGCATTATATTGATGAACATCACCTTTACTAGAGAAACAAAGCTAAAGTGTTTTCTATTATATATCTGCTGTTATTCTTTTCAAAAACTCATTATATTTAAAATGATTACAAATGGATATACAGCATTTTGGAGCGAAGCTGTTCAGCTTCTTACAGGCTATACTGTAGTGCGTTGCTGTGTGCAAGAGTGATGGTTTGTTGCTTGAGTCAGGCTGAGTTGCATCTCCACACTTACTAAGCAGCTCGTCAGTATCTCCTCCAGAGCAGCCGTGCTTTTACACTCGCCTGATTTCCTTCTCGTGGTTGCAGAGTCAGTGTGGAAGTGTGTGCACATGTGTTAGACAGTGAGAGACAGTGGATGTTATCAGGGGCTAATCGTTAGCACTGTGTGGGCTGATGTTCATTTCCAGGAGAGAGAGGAGATAGGAGATGATCTGGGCCACAGCAGAGGCCACGGGCTGCTAGCCTGAGCCCCAGACAGTGGGGCAGTACAGTCACACTGAGGTTTCTCATTTCTAGAAATGATCAGGAAACCGCCAGTTAAAACAGATCTCTGTCCTAAATCCAAAGTAGGTTATTTCTAATCAGGCCTTGCAGCCATGCACAAGACATGCTTAGATCATTTGTAGTCTCACACTTCCTGCTGTTTCATTTTTGTTGTTGTTGTTGCTGTTGATTTTACTATACACTATATACTAAATACTATATATTATTATTAAGTGCCAGGTGGTATTGTACAGAAACCCTAAAGGCCATAGGTTCATTACATTTTCCTGAAATAATAAGTTCATTTTATTTATTTTCATTGTTTATTTGTTAAAACAATTGTTGTCATTTTGAAACATTGTCCTTTTTTGTTGAGATCACAACATAATCACTTCACAAAAGCAGATTTTCTTGTTAAACATTGATAAATATTGATATAAACTATCAAACAACAATCAGTAACACTTTACTGTAGGGTACTTAAGCTTGTCATGATAACTGACATAACCCTACATAAATGTTTATAAACGCTTATTCCCTTAGGCACTATGAAGGTTACATGTGCTAATTTTGATCAAAGTTAGCCAAAGTATCCTTTATGGCAGATGATGCTTATTGGAATAAGCCTTTACAAACATTTATACAGGGTTATATCAATTTTCATGATGAGCTTATGTAGATGCCATGTAGGCTTATGAACACTACCCTTCAGCTCATAAGCATTGTCATGCAGTTCTGAGGCTGTAAGTTTTACTGTATGTCTACAGATTTACACACTGCATATTGTTCCTATAGTTTTTATTCAGTGCAATCAAACCGAATGATTGTTTCATACAGGAGAAAATGTGTATCTCTTGTTTAACATCCACTCTGGTAGCCCGTTTATATATCAGTTTGCTTTAATCTGAGGGTCGGTATTGGTCAGTGGTGCTGGTGGTGCAGTATAGAGCTGAGCCCTGTTGTTCTGATGACACTTTGCAGTATGCCAGCTAAAAAAGTTAATGAGACCTTCCAGAGTGCTGCTACTCTACACTAAAAGAATGTCTTACAAACCTGTCACAGCTTGTTTTGATTGGACTGATATGTTTTATTTTCTTCTTTTATGATTACACACAGCACTGTAAATGCCAGCCAAACAGAAAGAACATTTACGGAAAGAAAACTTATGTCTTTAGTTATTTGTTTATGCTTCGAGGAGTTCTTTCAAAACATTTTGGAGCCACCAGCAAATGTCATATATTGTGGTTAACTGTCAGTTTCTTGATACTGTGTGTACAGCACATAGAACAGAATTAACTCTTTCAATGGCCACGGCCCACGGTCCCAACATTATATTACACACTTCTATAACCTAAGAATAGCTCAACCGGTTTGCACTGACATCCCTGTAGTTACTGAACGAACCTTAGTATGTAATAAGCCTGGGATTTTAAGAGGTTCAAAAATATAAAATAAAATAAATTGTTTGGCAACAGAAACACCATTCTGGGTATTATATCATGGTTGTAACACTCTTTATCTATCAAATATGGTACCAATACTGAAAAGCAAAAACGTGTCAATATCAAGGTATACGTCCGTAGATAATATACTACCCATTATTATTATTATTATTATTATTATTATTATTATTATGACCAACTTTATGCCAGAATTTTGTAGTGCTGAACTCTGAAAGCTGAGACAGACAGTATGCAGTTTGTCATGGTGTAGTATAGCATTAAATTTGCAACAAAAAAAAATAAAATAGTACAAAAAAAAAAACACTGATGATCTTCTATCTTTGGTGCTGATGTATATGTTTAGAAGGGTGTGACCTATGTGATCAGATAAATAGCACATTATAAAGAACTGTTCATCATGCACATTTGAAGGTGTTTCATTCTAATACACATTATAGACCACTTTCAAGATTTGGTTTTCATTTGTTGGGAGTTGGCTTTACTCATAGATGAAATATCAATGCAAAATTTTGATTACTACATTTATTAACACCTTAACATTCCAGGCTTATTACATACTAAGGCTTATTATTCATTAACTACAGGGACTTCAGTGCAAACTAATGGAGCTATTCTTAGGTTATAGAAGTGTGTAATAATACTTTGGGCCTGTCAGCAGGCCCATAGCTTGGCAAGGGGTTAAATCAAACTGTCATGTTATTCTTTTCAAAAACTTAATTATACTTCTAAAATAGCTGCAGATGGATGTATAGCATTTTGGAATGAACCTGAGACTTGATTTCTGAGTTTGAGTGTGTCAGCTCATATGTCTTTGTGTGTCTGTCCAGGTCATTTAGATCATGATGGTTAAAGCAGAGTGTAATATCTGTAAGCCCGGATTTACTTTAAAAAATTAAGAACATTGGTTGCCTTAAAAAAGTGAAGTAATGTGTAATGAAAACTAAAGTCAGCATAAGTTATCATGCCTAAAAGGCAAGTTGATTTAACTTTTTTTGTTATACCAATTGCTTTGCCTAATAATTCTACTTACTATCTTGAGTTCAAGTAAATAAAATATTAATTTCTACTTAGTTTTCTTTTTTATTCCACTGAAATGAAATACAGATTTGAAATATTCATGGGAAAATTCATGGGAGAGAGGTGAAAGAGACAGTAGGGTCGCTGACAGTAGGGTCCCTGGTTATGTGTGTGCGTGTGTGGGGTCAGACTAATCTGACCAGTTTTACAGTCAGTTAGTGTAATGATAGATAAAAAGAAGGAGCAAGTGGGTTTAAATCAAGTGTCTGGAGCTGGATAAAGAGTTGTGTGTATGTTAGAAGGAGGGTGGAGCATCATGGGTCTCTGAGATAAAAGTGTGTAAAAGCAGGCATGTTTGTCTGTGCAGTGAGAACCTGACTGCTCTCTATTTTTGGCTGTGTGGGAGATATTAATATTGAGGGCGTAGCCGTTTGACCTGAGCTGATATGAATTTCCTTGTTAAAATCAACCGTACTGCTTACTGAGAATTGCGCAGGGCAGCGCGGTTACAGTGCTTCAGTTGGCATGTAAACACAGACTCTTTACTACATAGGGACACTCTACATTTTAGGCAGCTTTTCAGGAAATATTTATTGAATTACATTATACTGCTGAAAAGTTTGTAGACTCCTGTTCACCCAACATGAAATCAATGTATTAACAGTTAATAATTAATAATGCCTGCTCTATTGTCAGACTAGTGTCCATCACAGTCTGGTGATTTACCTACTCAAACACACCTGATCACACTTATCTGTTAATTGCCAGGTTTAGTGGGTGTGTTTGAGTAGGGAAACTCCCTGATCTAGAATAATGTAAACACGCTTCTGATGAGTAGATCAAATCCACCTGAGAGTTGTTTTAACACATGCTTCAATGGAAGGGATTAGACTAAACCCTTTCAACGGAAAGGATAAGACACTAAACTTGGTCCGTGTCACAAATGTGCTTAAATTTGAATAGCGACCTAGAAGCAGCGCAGAATCCTAAATATTTCTTCATCATCTTACTTGTCTTAACTTTTCTTTGTTTACAAAATTTGAAAACTTTCTGTTCATCTCTAGGTTTAAATGTAAAAATCCTGGTCTCAGACATTTGCACCCCACTGTATAACTTCCGGTTTTACATATATGTTCCTGAGTATGACAACAACGTTAACAATCCTCCTAAGAAAACAAGCCTTCCTATATCATGTTAAACAAAACTGATAAATTACCTATCAGGCATTGGCGTTTACCCCATTTTATTACTGCCTAAGAAATTAAATCAATCAAACGCCTAAAGCATGTTGCTATGACCTCAAATATCACTGCATAAGTGCACTGAATCAGCAAGTGTAGCGTGACGACAGTAGCGATGTTTACGGGAATAGAAGCCAAAAACATCACACAGTCTATGTGAGTAAACAAGGTTGTTTAAAGGGCTGTGTGGACATGGTTTATTTTGAGTGCATTTGTAAGTGGCTTGTGGTGGTCCTGATGTGGGTCAAGAGTGTGTGTATATTTCTGAGTAAAACCACACAGTTCTATCTGCTGCACCAGCTGGAGATACTGCTGACACCTGTAGAGATATTCTACGTAACATAAACACAGAGAGACAGACAGGCAGTTAGTTAGGCAGCAAGAGCAGGTGCAAAACCAAAGAGAGAAAGAGAGCGAGGAGAGACAGAGAGAGAGAGCGAGAGAGTGTGTGTGAGAGAGAGGGGGGGGGTCTAGGTGTATTTAAATCAATCATTTGCCTCTTCTTGTATGAGATCAGACAATCCAACTCTTAATCCCAACACAGAGTCCCACGCTCAGCACGATCGGTCAACATCCGAACACCACAAGATGGAGACGAGAGACTGAAGAACTAAAATCACTGACAGGTAAGACTGAATCACTGAATTCCTGACAAATAAGAAACACAACTTTAAAAATAAACACACAACTTTTTATTTTTTGAGTATAAACTGGAAACTGGAAACTGCTCAGGGGTCTTTCCTAACCCCCTAAACCCCCCCTTCTCTCCTCCTTGCTTTTGTGGATATCTGAAAGGTATATCCTTAGTAGCTCACCCACATAACGCACTACAGCTTAGCTCAAGTGCTGTTTTACCACAAGAATTTCATAGCCAGATGGCCAGACAGGACATTTGCAGGTGCTCTCATTGAGTAGCAAGGTTCCATTCAATTTCAGTTTAATTTTATTTGTAGAGCACTTTCCAAGTACCTGCTTCTGTCCACTGATGCTTCCAGAACCCCACTGCCATCTCAGGAACTAACAAACAATTTGCCATATCCTGATAAAAAAATTCTTGCAAATTTGACTATTAACTGGACAAGTATGTGATTGTCACATAATGGCATGTTTGTAACTTGCCATAAAACGCATGCACAAGTCCAATATAACACTGATGTGAAGCTTATTACTTGTAAACACTTCCACTATTGATGACTGTTCAGTTTGATCAACCCTCAAAAGAGTTTAGTAACGCAAAGATTAATAACTGGCTCACCACTTTTATTCAGTTGCAGAGAAATAACTTGAATTCAGTTGCATCCCTACCCTGGATAAGATATAGAGAAATACTAGTGCATGACAGGTGAGGAGTAGATGATAGATGATGCAGGCTGGGAGCAAAAGTAGAAAGTAATGAATTACATTTACTCTTGTTACTGTGCTTGAGGACATTTTTCCCAGTAGTAATAAAAATAATAATGATAATTTACTTGAGTTCTTTTTTAATGACATATTTTGCTACTTTACATGTTAAAAATATTGCCTAGTAAAAATTAAATTGTGAGTGTATCAGCTAAACCAGTTAGAACATTGTTACATTTAAAAGACTCGGTTCTGAATCACAGTCAAAAAACAGAGCAAAACAGAGCAGCGCCCAGCCGCAGAAACACTGCTGACGAGTCCAGTTTAGTGGAGAAAGAAAGAGAAGCACACTCACGAAACATATTCATTTTGAAGTGAACTGAAGTAAACGCCATTATTATCAGCTTCCAAACATAGCTGACAACTAGTTAACCTAGCTAATCCTAGCTAAACAGGTACCTACTGCGTTCACTATTTTCTTCTTGCTTTGCTGTTTTAGAAGAAAATGATGGCTATTTAAACTTAAAAGCTGTTCCATGTGTTTTATTGCAAGTGTCCGAACTGCTGTTTCTTTATTTAACATCGGTGTCAACCTGGTTTAGCCGTTATAAAATAGCATTACGGTTTTGTCACAGTTTTGGAGTTTGAAGTATTACGATGTCAAGCTTGTAACAATAGAAGAACAGTTTTTGATACTACATAGAACCATTTTAAAAAAGGTTCTATATAAAACTATATATAGAATCGTATACCAATATAAATATATACAGATAAACCCGATGAACTGTTTCACCATGAAAAGAGCCTTTTAAGCATGAAATGGTTTTATGTTGAACTCACGGTTCTAAATAGATCCATTGTCTTTACTAAAGAACGCTTGACAAACCATCTTTTCAAAGTGTGTATGATTACCAGAGGAATATATCACAGTAGAGAAAATCAGCACTGGATAAACTGCTGTTGATGCTAATAATTATAGTGGTAAAAATGTGCTATACAGGAATGTGTGGATTTATACAGTTAGAAGGCAACAATGTTTACTTTCTGTAGAGGCTGATGCCTATTAATGTAGGCTAATGTTCAGGGTAGCTGATGGACAATAGGACTGTCACTAAAAGTTACATTATTAATTAAGCAATCTATTCACAATTTTGACTCAATCAAGTAATCTTTTTTTAGTATAGACTTAACTAAAAGGAAGCAAACTACATGTGCACAAGCAGAGCATTCTGGGATCAGTCTCAGCACAGTAATATCATGCTTTCCTTTAGTTTTGTCTGTGCAGATTATTTCCAATCATGTAGATGAGTCAACAATATTTTCAGACTGTGATTGCGGATAGACCAAAAAGCATCTATTTTAGTCAAATAGTTTTCCAAGAAACTACTTATTTACTCTTACTTGAGTTTTTTCACTTTTAATACTTGTACTTAATTAAATTATCACTACAGCAGCAGTACTTTTACTTAAGTATGGCTTTTCAGTTTCCATCCGAGGTTGGGAGTTCATAAGCCGGGTTCAGTGTTCATGAAAGGAGTGATGGTTCTATCTTGAATGGTTGTCCAGGTGGGGTTTTTTTGAGGTGGTAATCATTAAATCAAGCACAGTCCTAAGAAGAGGGAGAGTTGCAGACAGGGTACCATGATGAGGTCCTGCACTAACATAATTTTTAATAGCAAGGGTCCTCTCAGTATGTTCTCCTGCAATCATAGCTAGCTGACAGTAGCCCATTTCAGGGAAACGTCCCGCACTTCTGATGCCCAGTAAACAGCTACAAGAGGAATTGGTGTGATCTTACCCTGGAAGCTCTTTAGAGTTTGCTTGTTGGCCTTCTGATTGCCCCAGCTAGTGCCCTACTCTACAGAACTGTTGTGCCATCTGTGTCCAGAGCACGGTGTCGACAACTCAACTGGCCTTGTTCTCATTAGGATGAAAAAAATGACTCAAAGACATAAGTCAGTCTCACTTTACAATAAGACTACTCTTATAAAGGGTTTATGAATGGTTTAATGTTATTTTATTAATGGTTATTATACTATAAGGAATACTTTTAAATAATTAATAAGGTTATAAGACATAAAAAATGAGGCAGATCAGTCAGATAGTGAGCTCACGCTTTTAAACCTCTATACTGTTAAACTCCGATCTTGCTGGTTACTTATCTTACTTTGTCTCCATCAGTCAGCATTATATATGTCAGCTTTGTAAGATATTCATATTCATCAGGTATAACAGGTCACTGTTGCCTTTTTCATTTGTGTTATGACTGCTTAATAGTGATTTTTAAGGTGTTTATGACCTTTTAAATAACCATTAATAAGCTAATTAAAACCACTCGAAGGGTATCTGTGCTATGGTACTGATAGGAGAGAGAGAGACAATATAAAATCGGAAAACTGAAATAAAAACAGAATCCGTTTTTTTACAGAGTTTGTTGTCTTACACTTCCAATTGAATTGATTCAAATAATAGTGTTCTTTTTTCTTTTTTTCCTCTTTTAATGTTCTTTTAGTAGGAAACTCCATAGGAAAATCTACAACAGGTTAAATGCCGAAGAAGTGCAGATTTTAGTATCTCTAATCCCTCTAATGAAGACATTACTGGAGAAAAAAATTGGCATTACATGAAGGTTTTGTGTGAGGAAAATTTTCTGAAAGTTCTTCACTGAACTCCTATACAGAGGTTAGATCTACAGCACGAAAGATACAGCAGTCATATTTCTCTCCTGTTTTTTGTTTCTTAGCAGTTGGTACGGGTGGGACTTGGCACAATACCAGGCCTACTTTTGTGAGGGGTCCTCTGCCCACCTTATCTTCCTCAATACACATGCACCACAGTTGCTTTACGTGACCTCAACGGTGCACTCATATATATGCACTCTCAAAAATGATGGTTCTTCAATGTTTTTGTTTTTTTTTATAAAGACAATAGTCCTATATAGAACCATGAACACTCAAAAAAGCTTTTGTGTGATTAAAGGGCTTTTTGTATCGTTAAAGAGTTTTAAGATTGATGGAGAATATGCTGTAGATGGTTCTATATGGAACCTTTCTGAAAAGGCATCTTTACAGCACAAAAAAAGGGTTCTTCTATTGTTATGATGTCAAGCCTGTAACAGTAGAAGAACACCTTTTGGTGCTATATAGAACTATTTTCAAAAAGGTTCTATACAAAACCATTTAAAACACACTATCAATCTGATGAACACTTTAATGGTGCACAGAACCCTTTAATCACGCAATCAGTGCTCTATATAAAACCTTTTTCTTTACTAAAGAGCTCTTGAAGAACCATCATTTTGTGTGGTTTGGGGTGGGGTGCCTTGTGATTAAGTTTGGCAAACTATCTTTTGCACTGAGGAATCAATTCAGGAGCAAAGCTGAAAGATATGTGGGTTTCTTATAAACTCTCTTATGAACTGATTTGGTGATGATTTAAAAACCTTATTTATTGTTATTGTTTCTGTCTCAGCTGCACAGTTCATGTACTTGTGAATGTGAATGTGTGGAGACGCTCAGCTCCAGCCTAGAGGTCATTGTTACTGTTTGGCTGAGTGAACTGTGAGAGAGTGAAGTACCTGCAGTGCTCAAGCAGTTTAACTACGATTAAAAAAGCAGAATGAAAGGGATGTGAATAAAAGCTCAGCATCTTTAGCCGAAGCTTACCAACACTAAGAGATGCAAGATGTTTTTATATGTATTTGTTCTTGATCAGTTACATCCAGCCGTTCAGCTATGACTTCGTATTTTGTCCACCCGTATAAGGATAAACCCCGCCTCCTGCGCTACGATTGGCTACGGATGTTTCGTCCCGTGTGTTACGATTGGCGGGTGATAGGTCCAGCGCTAGGATTGGTTGGTTAGTAATTCATACTTTCGCGGACCGCTTGTGAATACGAACTACCAGTCGGAGCTTTACTGCTAGTTTGTCGGAATACGGGTGGGGAAAAAACTATTGCCGTTCGGTCCAGGCGCTGGAAGTGGCGTCCTGTTTCCCTCAGCGAGCTGAAGAGACGCAGCCGGAGCTGAGCACGGTGAGAGCGCTCCGCTTCTTCTCTTCGCCTACCTGCTCTCTGATTTCTGCTTTATTTAAGCGCAGCGTACACGCACATAGACACACACACACACACACACACACACACACACACACAAATACACACCGCCACAAACTCACAGATTCAGTGATGCGGATGCAGTGAAGCAAACAAAGTTCTCTTCCTAGCACACACCTGCCTGACCACACACCGCCTACTAAACCACTAATGTCTGTATCTGAAATTTGAGCATTTCCTTTGATCTGTATGTTCTCTAAGCTTGCTTGAGCACAAATCTGAAGTGATCATATCACTGGCTAAATTTGGCAAAAATTGGCTTTTGATTGTGAATTAAAGGACACTCTTGAAAAATGGTTATTCTAAGGTTCTTCAGTAAAAGCAATCTGTATTTGCATGTGTTTGCATGGTGAAATGGTTCTTTGCATTGTAAAATGGTTCTTCAGACTGATGTAGAGTGTGTTGTATATGGTTCTATATAGCACCAAAAAGGGTTTGATGTCAAGCCCTTTTTAAAAAGGTTCTATATAGAACCATATACAACACATTCTCTATCAATCTGAAGAACCATTTCACCATGCAAGTGGTTCTTTGAGTGTTCATGGTTCTATATAGAACCATTGCCTTTACTAAAGAGCCCTTGAAGAACCATCTTTTTGAAGAGTGGATGAAAATGACACAAAACAAAAAAAAATCCAATGGATCCTGTTAGATTGTTAGATGTTCCTTCACTGTATAATTATAGAAAATTTAAACACCAATCAGAACATGTTCTGTGGAGTTTTTTTTTTACTAAATTTAGTTCATAGACAAGAATGGGTTAAAAACCATAAGCCCTTCACTTAGTGTAACTAAATCATAATAATAGACTAAATTTGTTATGAATTGAAAAGCAGTGGCTCACTGTAAATATGTGCTCTTGTACTACCTGCAAGGCAGAGCACATCGCTTACCAGTCATTTGTAATGATGGTTTATGGTTTAATGATGGCTGTAACTATGATGCTTGATTGTTTTGGCACAGCTGTAAGCAGAAAGAGCAAGTAAGGGACACTGCAGAACAGTATGACCTAATAAGAAGCCTTTCAGACCAAAATAGAACAAAAGTGACTTAACAGTCAAGATAATCGGCCATCAGAAACGGAAACCAAAACCACAAACAAGAGCTTGTGCAGTCAGGCTGATTGCAGGTGTCAACATCTAAATCCTCCTTTTCATTTAATCTAAATGCACAGTACATCTCGCCTCATCTGAGAACATGTACTTGTTTAATGCAGGATTGTGCTATTAAAACTAGTAGCTCACCACAAGCTTTCACTAAAAACATAAATCAGGGCGAGCTCTTACGAAACAACTCAGTTTCATGTTTTCTTCAGGTTTATCTGCAGTGGACCTGTGTCTGTCCAGTTGTTTTAGTAGCAGGCTAAGTGGAGGTCAGGGAGGTCTGCACATGAGAACATCAGAACATGCTGACATTAATCGTTCCAGGAAAACCCAGCATAATTATAACTACAGGAAGAAGACGTGTTTTTCACATGCACACTTTAATAGGGCACTTCCTCATTAGCTGAAAGGTTACCATAGCAATTCGCCCCAGATGGAGTATGAGGTGGTTTCTGTGGTAGCCTGAAGAGCTGCAAGCACTGAGGTGTGTGGTGCGCTGACAGCGAGGGCTAAGAGAACAGCTGGAGGGGAAGACCAGTGCACATACTGCCAGCCCACACTGCACCTACAGTCAGCATGCTTCTAGAGCCAAAAATGTGTCTGCAGCTTTTGCAAGGGTCTTTTTTTCCTTACACCTTTTTTCACCTTCTGTCTTGTCGCTGAGTTTAAAAACAGGCCTTCTAGATCAAAAGAGCCCCTTATTATGCCATGATGTATTCAGAAGCTTGGATTGTGGTCTTGTTTATGGGAAGCTGAACTTAATATAAATTCCAGTTCACTGATGACAAAATATATCATCAGTGAATTGGAAAATATGCACTCTTCAACACAAACACAGCAGTCTTACACTATTTATGTCATTGCTATCATAACAAATCTTGTAACCTACATTTTTTGATCATTTAAAGGACCCAATTCTTGTGTTTTTTCAAGGTCAACTTATGTTTAAATACCGAAAGAACATGACCTCTCTTTATCAGTAAAAAAAGAAACCAGGCTGTTTTGGTTTCTGTGCCTTTAAGACTGATGTATGTGAATGACCTCCATTCAGACTGGCTGTCTTGTTTTGGTAATCATTCAAAATGCTGTCTGGGCTGAAACGCTCCTTATAATTTGTGAATGGACAGAGCTAAACTGATGTAGGCTGAATAGTGACAATCACAAAAACAGTGATTTCAAAACTGACCATTTTTGCAGTTTAGTTTCCATAAATATGTATAAAATGCGTGTTGGATACTGTGCACTGTGAGCTCCAGCAACCAAAGCCAAGTCCCTTGTATGTGTAAGCATACCTGGCCAATAAAGCTTGATTCTGATTCTGATTCTGATATGGATAATATGGACTGGGGAGTGGAAGGGTTATCTTGGACTTTAACAGTGTTTACATACCACACCAAATTATTTTTTGTGTCAACAATTTTTAAAGTGGCAAAAACGCAAAAGTTTTTTTTTTTTTTGACAACAGTGGCGTAGCCAAAATGTGGGCAATGCCACCCTCCCATGAAGCGTGGCCACTACAGAAATGTGAACTTTTTTTTACAGTGAAAATCTGCCATCAGGGCAGTTACCAATCACTTTTGATCTGATTGCTCAATCTGCATATCTCACAGGAGGTGGATGCTGCACAAAACCTTACCATTTTTTGTGTTCATTTTGCTTAAGGCTGCAGTTAACAGTGTCTTTATACATTAGGAAAACATTTAAAAGAACCTAAAAGAAAACTTAAGTGTATGACAGTATTTTTATCACATGTGCTCTATGTGGATTACTGTGACATTACTGTAACTGAAGATTTTAACACTGCTCAGCACTCGAAACAGGGAACAAAACGTACAATATTTTGGACATATTTTTCAACATAATAGAGAACTGGATAAAGTCACTTTCCGTTTTTACATAGTGAACTTCCAGTTCCATAGAATTATGACAACAGTAATAATTAGGCCAGCACGCTTCAGCAGTGCTCCGCCATGAGCTACATTATATGACGTAAGCAATACAATTGTAAGATAAGGTAACTATCAGAAATTTGTAACTACTAACATGTACTACTGTATAGTCACATCTATTGTTTATCATGTGAGCTAAATAATTTTACGACTAAAGATGCAGGCTAGATTTCGTCGAATCAGGCGAATCCAGTGCTGAGTATATCTTCCTGCTAATGCGGTAGATTAGCTTGTTACCCTGCCAAGTATTATTCTCTCATAATGTCACCACACACCTTTTTTCTTTAGTAATTTGCCACCTCAGTAAAATTGCTGGTCACCCCACTGAAAAGGTTCTGGCTACACCCCTTATAGACAGATCTCTTGTCCCATAATCCTATCCTTTTCATTAACATGGAGTTTTCTTATGACAACGGTGATAAACTCCACACATGGACATCTATTTCTCTCTTTCTTTCCTAGTGCAAGTTGTGTTTTGTGCTCTGCATGGATCCGCAGTCCTCTCCAGGGTGGTCTTTGTTGGTGACCCCTGTGCTGTCATGCCACCCTCTCATTAACAGCCTACAGAGACAGGTAGCAGCCTTTAACCCAGTGCTGTGCAGCTCATTATTTCTGTTCAGTGTGCTGAGCTTCACCGCACCAGCTTTACTTTCCTTTCTTGTTGTCAAGCGCAAAAGTGCAAAAGCGCAAAAGCGCAAAGACCTGTAATGTAGACGTGCGTTGCTCTGTGCCTTCGCTGTTCCTAGTGCTTGTTTCTCTCTCTCCATACAGATGTCTGAGCAGCACCTGAAGCTGGAGAGGGAGAGAGAGAGGGAGGAAAGAGACAGAGAGAGACAGGGGCTTAAACAGCTTTGGGATAAAGAGAAGAGCCAATACAGTAATCTCCTCCCTATCTAACTTTCTTACTATGTCGATTTTACAGTATTTACAAAGAAAGAGAGAGAGAGAGAGAGAGAGAGAGAGAGAGAGAGAGAGAGAGAATAAGAGAAAATGAGAGAGAAATTGATAAAGAATGAGAGCGCAAATGATAAAGAAAGAGAGGCAGAGATGAAGAGAACGTCAGATGTAGAAAGAGAGAAAGAGAGAGAATGATAAAGAAAGAGAGTGTGATACAGAGAAAGAGAGTGAGAAAAATGAGAGAGAGAGTCATAAAGGAGAGAGTGATGAGAGAGAGTGTGCTTAAGACAGACAGAGAAGTAGAGAGAGAGAGAAATAGAGACATAGAGAGAGAGAGAGAGAAAAGAGAGAGAGATGTTCCAGTATTATATTTTGGGCATTCAGGGGAATTTCTTTTAAGCAGTGTCACCACAATTCTGATTAAATCAGTAGGAAGTCGCTTAGCGCCGGGGCTTTTGATTCTATCTTTCTCTTTCTTTCTCTCTTTATCAGGAGTGTAAGATTTAGTCTACACTTGAGTCAACATTGTGCATACAAAGTGTTTGTTTTACTAAGTACGTTCTTCAGTCACAAGCTAAAGCTCCTACATATATATCACAGGTATCACATTTGTTGCTTTGATTGACAGGTGCAGTGGCCAGTCCTTGGGTGAGAAAGAAGCTGCGACAGTTGATTAAACACAAGCAGTACCAAGCAGTGTCCACCCTCAGCAGCTTCCCCACAGGATTCAGGTCAGACTAACACTGCTTCCAGTGTTAGGCCAGCATTTAAACTACTGTTATTGAATACTGTACTCCTGTGGACTCTTAGGGGTGCTAATGTTTAACTGCCACATGAAGTTACAACTTTTGCCCCGTCTGAATTCTTTGATTTTTTATGTGTTGGTAAATGAAAGTAAAGGAAATGTAAGCTGAGTCTTGAACTAACAGCAGAGCTGAATATCAGAATTCAGTACTTTTATGGCACGGTCTGAACTATTTCAGTAGCCCGGAGTTTTGCAAAATTCCATGTTGAAAAATTCCATGTCAAATCAGCATCAGTCAGCCAAAACTGGAACAGTGGAACTTTCTGCAAACTACTCAAACACTACCCTACAGGAAGAAGTACACAGCTAACAACATCACATAACACAATGTGAGTGTTTCTTATTTCAGGATAGATTTGTTACAGGATTGAACTGAATTTATCCTTTTTTCCTCCAATATCCAATCTAGCTTTAGCTGGTAATGTCGGCCTAAAACTGATACCCATCATTACCAATATGGCGTCTTTATTATTGAAAAAAGTATCATACAGGTATCAGTAATGAAGTCATTAAATAGTATTAGTATCTAGGGCTGGGCAATATGATAATATATATCATTATCATGATAAATTATGTCATAATACAATATAGTATGCTTTTCTGAACATATCATGGATATTGTCAGTATGTGTAGAACAATGACCAACTGCATGTTTCATTATAAAGAGGGCAAAATTAGTCCTGTTTAAGTGGATTTAGTGCAGCACAGTATGCCAAATATTGAATAAAAAACATTATATTTATTGTTTTTGATAGTATTATTTAAAATGTAGCACTGCTTGTTCTTTTTTTCTGTTCCAACTGATCAGATGTTTGAAAAAATAAATATTCTGACATATCTTGATATTATTTTTTTGCTATATCGCCCACCTCTACTGGTATCACTACCAAAAAAACTTTGAATGATACCCAAACCTACCCATGAAATTAAAAATGACTGTACTGTGCTGCTTGCTCTTCTGTGAACTAGCAGATTTATTGTTGGTTTAAGGAATAAAAAAAGTACTGTAAACTATGCAAACTATTGCCATCATCATCCGCAGAGATACACTTTTAATGGAGGTGATCTAGGCTTACTTGGAAGCCAATCTGCTTTCAAGGTTTCATACATGAAAATCTAAGCTCAACTGTAGAGCTGAATTCCTATGACTGAACTTGGTAGTCTGTTGGTGGTCCTCTCGCACCACAGCAAAGCAGGGTTTTTAGCCATCTACCACCTACATCTGCTATCACAATCACACAGTAAACCTAAAAGGAAAAGATGTCCCAACACTGCAAGTACTTTAACACCACATAAGAATCGCTAGTTTGCTGTTCTCCAGATCAAGAAGACTTATTCGTGATTGTGAGTGTTGGTATAACGAAAGTTTGTGGCTGTTTAGGTCGCTGGCTCCTATTCCGGACTTGAAGGTTCAACATCATCAACGGAACTCACCTTCATCTCAAAACTACAGAAGTGAGCAGTTGCGGAGAACAGGTGACACATGCACAGATCTCTGATTATCAGTATTATTAACAGAGAGACTCAATAGCTTTGTGTTCGCTCATTAGCTGTAGTTCTCACTCGCCACAAACATTTTCATCAGATCAACATCATACATACCAGCTCTCTGAAGGCTTAGCAGCCGGGTACTCTGGCATGTGTGTGTGTGTGTGTGTGTGTGTGTGTGTGTGTTTGTAGTTTCAGAGCCCCTTCTGAAATCGAAGCTAAGGAGGAGTGTGACAGGCAGAAAGAATCCTCTCCACCGTAATTCAAGTGCTCCCCCTACAGGTAAACGGCCAGCACACATGGTATGATAAAACAAATAATAATAATACATTCAGGAGCAAGACTAGACTGTATCAACGTCAGGAGCTGAGCCCGTGACATATTTTACCATAGGTCACATGGTTGCACAGTCTGTCCTCTAGATTCCAGAGCGCCTCCAGTATACACTGTAAAAATGATTTGCCGGTTCAAACTAAAAAAATTGGCAGCACCTGTATGTAAAAAAGAATTAACTGCATGTGCAATAACCAAGAAATTAAAAACGAAAGATGTTTATGCTGGCATGCCTTTATAATCAGAATACTAAAATGCATATTACATTATTTTGTCCCTTGCTGCCAGCTCTCACTTCCCCTGCTGTCTCTATTGCTTGTATGGTCAGCTCCTGTCCTTTCAGCTGCTTTTGTATTGAGCTTCTCTCCAACCTCTTCTACACTCTGTTACTGTGGCATTTAATTAATTACTTTAAAATGGAAATACCTTTAGCCAAAATGAACTGCGTGTATAACTACCACCACAAAGAAATACAGTGCCTTGCAGAAGTATTCAACCCCCAAAAAAGGCATCAGATTTATCTAGTTTACAAATGATACTTATACAGATTGTTCCAGATGATATTTTTTCCCCAAACCAATATGCGCATATAGTACATTTTCAAAGTCAAACGTTATTATTTGTCAGCTGATCTTTCAAAATAAAAATAAAAACTGAAAAATGCTGTTTGCATAAGTCTTCAAACCCTTCAGACTAGTACTTAGTGAAACCAACTTTTGCTGCAATAGCAGCTCGAAGTCTGTTGGTGAAAGTACACTGCATGATTGGATGACGACTAAAAGTTTCAAATATTGCTACAGATTCTAGATTTTATTGAGATCTGGACTTGAAGACCTTTTTATTGTTCAACCACTCCTGTGTTACTTTGGCCTGCAAAGTTTCTCCCAAGCTTTAGTTTTTTAGCAGACTGAAGCTGGTTGTCTTGCAATACCCCTCTATATTTTGCACCATCCATTCATCCTTCGATTTGAACAAGATGCCCAGTACCTGCTGAGGAGAAGCATCCCCACAGCATTATGATACCACCCCCATACTTCATTTTTGGTATCCTGGTTGTTGAGGAATGGAAAAAGCTTAATTTTTGTTTCATCTGACCACAAAACCTTTTCCCACATTTCGGCTGGGTCACTCCATTGATTTCTGGCAAATTTTAGATGTGTTTTGTCTTTAGTAATAACTTCTATCTAGCCACCCCATACAGGTCAGTTGTATGCAGAGCTCTTGATATCATTGACTGGAGCACATTCACTCCAGTTGCAGACACTGAACTGTGTAGCTCCAGAGTGATTGTTAGCCTCTTTCTGGCTTCCCTCACAAGTTCCCTTTTTACTCTTTGTTTTGAGGGACAGCCTTGTGTAGGCAGTGCCTGGGTGGTATGACGCAGCTGCAATTTCCTCACAATTGATCCAGTAGGATATCCAACACTTAGATATTATTTTGCAGTTTTCTCATACTTATAAGGGGCATTCAGAGGAAGTCTATTGGCAAGTTCTTTTTGTGTGTGTCATTTAAAAAGAGAAGAATGTATGGAGTTAATTTTGCAGTGCATATTTTACAGTGTCACTTTTTTATTTCTAACCCATTGTCAATGTTTGTTTGTGTATGTGTGTGTGTGTGTGTGTGTGTGTGTGTGTGTGTGTGTGTGTTTGCAGACTGCCCTAGCACTCCAGTATCTGAGTACACTTCACTCTCCAGTCAGTCAGACAGTAGATTGCTAGTCTGGGACTACAACAGAGGACTGACTCAAGAGGTTTCTCTCTCTCTCCCTCTCCCACTCTCTCTCTCTCTCTCTCTCTCTCTCTCTCTCTCTCTCTCTCTCTCTCTCTCTCTCTCTTTTACCCCTTTCCTGTGACATATGCTAATGTGGACCTTTGTGTTTAGAAATTAGAACGGAAAACTGACCAGCTTACAATGGTGTGTTTGACTGGCTGGTTCAGTGTACTTATGGCAACTGCTGAGTGCTGTGATGTCACAACCATGAACATATTTACATACTACCACCCATTCAGCCTACAGTATCTCAGCTCACACATTCACATCAAAGTGATAAGGCATGTTGGTGTTGCACATTATTGAATCGGTTCTTTTCAATGAATCACTTGAAATCATTCAAAACTTGAATTGAGTAATAATCTTTACAAATTTGCCCTAATAAAATTGTAACACAAAACAAAACATATTAGGACCTGCATCTTTTACATCTGTTACCTGTAACTGTAACCTGTTACCTGGTATGCATTTGTGCAGCTTTACATTGTTCTCCAAATTATTCGGTTCAGTATAATCATTCACTCAAACCGACAGGTTTGATGAGCAGGTTCTGACATATTCAGCTAAAATGAGCTGAACACTCAAAATAGCTCATCCTATAGAGCACAGCAACCTTATGAAGGCACCCAGGCTGAGATCAGAAACATGTGAACATGAAGCAGAGTATATTATATTCCGGACATTACATTAACTTCCCTTTTTATTTACACTGAGGGGTAGAGGGGTAAGGGTAGCACATTAGCACTCATGTTTTTAGTTGAGGTGCTGAAATTTTAAGCAGCGTAGATGTGATGTGAACGATGACGTCATGATTTGATATTTGCCTTTTTTCATTTGATTTTTGCTAATCTACATCAAACAGAATGTGTCATGTGCTATGAGATGAGAAACTATAACTGACACAAACTACCCAAACTGACACACATTGTCTCTCTGCTTTCTGGTTCTGGATGAGCTTTATGCAAATGAACTGAGAGGTGACCAATCAGATTGTTGCCACCATTAACTTAAACAGCATTAATTTAAACAGTGCACAGCTACTGCAAGTTTTGAGAACATATAAAGATACAAACTTCACCCTAAAACCAGAACACGTCTTTACTATGCTCAAATTATTATATAGTTCAAAATATTTTATTATTGTTCTATTTGTAGAGGTTGCAGTCCTGAAATCTGGAGGTGCTGCAGCACCCTCAGCACCCCCACATCCCCATCCCTGTTAGCGTTAGCATTTTAGCTCTGGCTTAAACAAAAATCATTTAAGCTTCATACAGACCTTCAGGTATTTTTTATTTGTAGGAAGAGTTTTAATAGAAATCCTAAAGTTATATATGAATTTAAATTCTGTCTTTAAATTTTATTGGCCTGTTAGCATATTAGCATGTTGGGTTTCTGCTGACGTTTAATGAGGGCCTAATATAGACCAGTTACAGAAAATATAAAATATAGACTAGCTAAAGAGAGTCTGTTTTGTTTAGATTTCACAGTAGAAAGTCTGTTTCTGTGTGTAGTTTTGCACATTTCCTCCATCACATGGTCCTGTATAAATAGAGAAATGTGTAAATCTAAAAGAAGACTTCAGGATGGAAACATAAAATATAAGAACACTGCTGAAAAAAATCATAAAAAACATTAAATGTTTCTGTTGGTTCCTGCTGGTGTCCAATAGACACTAAGGGTATTTTGTGTTTTCCTGATGGGTTAATATTGCAGTGCAAATGATTCTAATGGTGTAACAGGTGTTCTTGGACAGATTTCAGATGCATTTGGTAGTTTTCTCATGGAAATCTAAAGATGTCCTACAAAAACACTAGTGGTGTCTTATGGTAACCATTAAGCCAATGGTCTTTTTTCAGCAGGGAAAATGTAGTGCAAAAAGACACTTACAAACGAACACTCAGAATCTTCTGGCATGCTTTTCCAAACCACTTCACTTTTCTTTCCAACCCACCTGTAGGTTGATGTGAATAATGCACCAAACATTTACCACTCTGATTTTCATTCAGTTCACTTGATCTTTCTCTGTAGAGTGAAAGACATCTGAATTCTGCAAAGATAGAGAACAGACCCATGGGATCTCCTCAACACGTGTATATCTCACATGGGCAGGAGGGTGTGGTGGAGGCTTTCCCCTCGACTGTACAACCAGTTTTTTTCCTGAACAACACTGGATTCCTGCAGACTCCAGTCCTCCCCAGTCCTCACACACCAGTTCAACCAGGTTAACCTGCCGCATCTACTGAATATTCAACATTTTACGTGGATTCATGTAGACTTACTACATATCTTGTCACAATGGAAAAAAAAACAAAAACAAAGAAACAACTGTGTAATTTTGCAGTACATATGGTGGTGAGGCAGCATAGGCCACTGACCAGAACCCAATCACAGCCCGTAATTCAGTGGGATCATTATCCAGAGACCCAGCGTATGTACCGGACCTACAGTAGCAGACGACACAAGAGGCCTAGACACACACAAGAGGTGAGACACACGCGCACACACACACACACACACACACACACACACATTCTGACTTTGTGTGTTGTGTTTTTTTACTTCACACTCACACTTCCAAGTCCTGTTTGTGGAGCGCCCTCTACAGTTCAATGTTTTCACACACCTGATACAACTAATCAACCTAAATAGGTGTACAGCAAGGAAATCACTTGTAAATGCAATAATAATAATGCAATAAACATACAACCATCATAAGCATACAACCATCATAAAGAAATGCCATAGCTATGGCCTAACAATACCTCAACAATGACCTGGAATTACTATATAAACCCAAATCTGTTATCAAAACCAAATGCAGTGTTGCGCAAATCATTTAAACTTTATATTTAATTTAAAATAGTAGGAAGACAACTTATCAAATGTTAAAACTCAAACATTTTATTGTGTTTTGAAAAATATATGCCCATTTTCAATTTAATGCCAGCAACATGTTTCAAAGAAGTTGGGACAGAGCAAAAAAGACCAGTAAAGTTGTCTAATGCTAAAAAATAAACCTGGCGGTTAATTGGCAGCAGGTCAGTAACATGATCGGGTATAAAAAAAGCATCTCAGAGAGGCTGAGTGTTTCAGAAGTAAAGATAGGGAGGGATTCACCACTCAAAATACTGCAACAATTCAAGAATAACATTTCACAACATAAAATAGCAAAGAACTTGGGGATTTCATCACCTGCAGTACATAGTATCATTAAAAGATTCAAAGAATCCAGAGAAATCTCTGTATTACAAGAGGACAAGGCGAAAAAGGACAGTGATCTTTAGGCCCTCAGGTGGCAATGCATTAAAAATAAACAGGATTCTGTAGTGGAAATCACTGCATGGGCTCAGGAACCATTGTTTGTGAACACAGTTCATCACTGCATCCACAAATGCAAGTTAAAACTCTACCATGCAAAGAAGAAACCATACATAAACAGGATCTCAAAATGCCACCACCTTTCCTGGACCAAAGCTTATTGAAGATGGACTGAGGCAAAGTGGACAAGGGTCCTGTGGTCCAACGAATCAATATTTAAAATTCCTTTGGAAATCATGGACGCTGCATTCTCCAGGCTAAAGACCATCCGACTTGTTATCAGTGCACAGTACAAAAGCCAGAATCCGTGATAGTGTGGAGGGGCATTAGTGCACGTGGCATTAGTGACTTGCAAATCTATAAAGGCACCATTAATGCTGAAAGATATGTACAGGTTTTGGCAACACGTGCTGCCATCAAGACAACGTCTTTTTTCAGGGAAGGCCTTACTTAGGCAAAGACAAAGTCAAACCACATTCTGCACGTATTACGACAGCATGGTTCTATAGTAAAGAGTGCGGCCTTACTATATAATTATACATATAATTTCTTGTGTATATCCTCCCTAGGTGCTGGTCCAGCCTGGAATACGCCAGGCCGTGGCAGGACAGCAGGACCAGAACAAAGAGCAGCAACCAGAGAAAACCACATGGAGGGAGAAATATAGATGTAGTTGTAGGGATGGAGACAGACCGCCAACAACTGCGAAAAGCAATACAGCGGTTGAACTGGTGTTTAGTAAAGAATGCGGACAAATCAGCAGCGAGCAGGACAAGGTGACCTACATATCATTTACACCTCCCATCTCTCAGGTGCTGTTATAGCTGTTCTCATGTCTGGACTCATCCTTCTCCCTCTCCTTGTCATCCTTCTCCTTATCTTGTTGTTAGCATTTAGATCAAAGGTCAGCACAGAGGATGAATGCTGGATCCCATCGGCCTCTGATACGCATCGAACCCTCTCCTGGCTTCTACCTGCCTGGCAGCGCAGAGCGCCCTACTGACAACGCAGAGTTGCCCGGCACAGGTGAGAACAGGAGACACGCGATGCTGGAGTGAACACCACAGAAAACAAGTACAAAAATGACTATAATCTCCCAGCCGACACAGTGCAGCTTTACACCACTTACACTTGCAGTTTATACCCTGAGACTAGGCAGTGTTTTCCATTATACTAAACAGTAGGGAAAATGCCAGCATTTTGGTTTTGTCAGAGCAGAAAAGACTGTTTATAGACTGTTTGTATTGCTGTCTTCTGCACACACAGGCTATTTTATTAGAAACACATAGCTCATAGATCCACCTCGCTATTATATAGTTAGAGACTCTAGCCCATCTGTTGATGCACAGTGTTAGCCATCCTCCATCCCTTTATCAGTGGTCAGTTTTTGACCACAGAGCTGTGATTCAATACAATTTAATCATTAAAATATTTGGAGAAAACGTAAAAGAAGTTTCAACCACTGGGATACCTGTTTTTATGAAAGCACATGCTTCAGTGCATCGATTTTAATCAGTCAGTAGCAGTACAATTAATAATTATCAGTGACGTTTTTCCACTACCTTGGAGTATTTCAAGTTTCATGATAAATACTACTACTACTACTACTACTACTACTACTACTACTACTAATAATAATAATAATAATAATAATGATAATAATAATGACAATAATAATAATGTAGCATCCCACTACTGGCTGGCATGGCTGTAGAGCCTCCAAAGGTGTGGCCATACAGAGTGGGTTAGTGTGGATTGTTGGTCACCATAAGGGTAAAATGTATGGCTAGTGCTGACCTCTCCTGCAAGTTCAGTGCTTTACATGTGCCTTTTTGCCCTGTTGTTTAATAAAAAGCAATAATAAAGAATATTTCTCATGGTGGAAATCATGGCCTCTACTGATGCTGCAATAATAATAATAATATTAATAATAATTTTTCATTTTTCATTTAATCATAAAAGTGGAACATATTTTTTTCCTTATTTTTAAAGAATATTCAAACAATTGAGATAATATTCAATAATTAAAGGGCCAATATCATCGAAAAACCAATCTTTCCTTGTTTTTTTGAAATACAGTATACTACATAAACATTGTTTAAAAATGAACCGTTCATGCTGCAGTTCATACGGTCCATATATGGAAACTAAGGTAGTGGAGTAAAAAGTAGGATATTTTACAGTTTCAATAAATGGAAACACTTTAATAAAGTGCAAATACTTAAAAAAAGGAACAGTGGACAGTGAGCGTATGATTGTTTGTCTGCAGGTTTGGTATATGACTCACAGATGATGAAGCAGCATTATTCCTGGGGTCGTAGCGTTCTTCACCCTGAGTATATCAGAACTGTGTGGACAAGACTGCAGGATTCAGGCCTCAGTAAACAGTGTAAGGTACAGACCAGAGCTGATGCTGTCAACATCTCTCTCAAACACACTACTGACCACCACAGATCCAATCAGTGTGTTGCTGTGCCATGTTTCAGTTGATCCCAGCGAGAAAAGCCACTGTTGAGGAAATCCAGGTGGTTCCTCAAGAGAGCCATGCTTTTCCTTATGGAACAAATCCTCTGGGTCGTCTGCACCTGAATGCAGCAAGGATGGCAGCGGGCTGTGTGACGGAGCTGGCACTGCGTGTGGCACAGGGAGAACTGAGGGTGAGACTGCAGCAGACAGTAACAGTGCAACATCCACCACTGAATATGAAATGACTCTCTACATCAGGGGAGGGCAACTGTGGGCTCGGAGGACCACCAGGACCTCAGCTCAGTATAATTATATAGTAGATTCTCAGCTCTTCACACAGTCTGAAATATGAAGGCTAACAGCATCTTTCTCTTCCACTCTCTCTGTCTTTGGCTGTCCTCTTTCTCCCATCTCCCTATGTTTCCCTTGATCTCCTCTTTCTCTTTTGTGCTCTCTCTCTCTCTCTCTCTCTCTCTCTCTCCCTCTCTCTCTCTCTCTCTCCACTACAATTAGAATGGTTTTGCAGTAGTTAAACCACATGGACATGATATGTCAAACTACGAGGCAGTGTGAGTATCACATGCATGCACACACACACAATCTTGTCTTACATTCCTTCTGAGGACTTCCATAGGTTTACATTCATTTTTGAATTACTGTAGCCAAATAATCCTACACCTACATGTAGTCCTCACAAGGACAGCAATACGTGTACACACTCATATCTGTTTGGTTTGTCACTCATATGTCCAGTTTGTTTAATCTCTCTCTCTCCACATCTCTCTTTCTAGTGGTTTCTCTAGTTCAGTAGCGATTGCTGCTAAGCAGCTTCAGCAGAGACTCAGTGACAAAAAGATTATAATTGTTAACTGGGTGAGACACACACTCACACTTAGTCTTCTACTCGAGTGAGATTTATCAGCTCATTATCTGTACAGCTGCTCCACTAACATACAGTTCTGTCTTTGCTGCACTGTTTCAGGATGTTCATCATGATAACATCGTTCAGAACATTTTCTACACAGATCCAAAAGTCCTCTGCATCTCATTGCACCGCTGTGATGAGCTTAGCTGTGGAGGAGGAGAGCCCACTGAAGTCAGTGCCACACAGCTATACTTCCTTAGTGCTTTCAGTGTGGTCATTCACAATGCTTGTCATCTTCGTTTGTTTAAGCAGGAGGATGTTTTTCCGTCATAACAAAAACTGCACTGGTTTGTGTGTCGAGTGTTTTAATAATTGACTAAGACAAAATTAAAAAATCAAACCTTTATGAAATTTAAACCACAAATTAGAACAAAATAAATCTGAAAACAGTAATCAGAGCTATGGAAACCAACCAACTGTATTTTAGTAATATTATAGTATTATAGGACAAATGTTAGTTCCAAAAAAGTTGGGACAGTGTGTAAAATGCAAAATGCAAATAAAAAGAGAAAGCAGTGATTAGTACATTTGCCTTGCAGTACAGAAACACAATATTTGCCATTCTTCTGTTATGAGATACATTTTCAGCTGCCCAACTACATACATTTTAATTCTCCTATTTTTGCTTCATAATGTGTCCTACATTTTTAATGGGAGACAGTTCTGGACTGCAGGCAGGCCAATCTAGCATCTGCACTCTTTGATTAAGCAGTTGCACATGCATAATGTGCCTCAGCAGAGTATCCCCGAGCCCATGTGGTGATATCCATCACAAAAGTATGCCGGTTTTCAATGCACTGCTGTCTGAGGGGTTGAAGGTTATGGCATTTTAGCTGTGGTTTTCGGCCTTGCCTTTTATGCACAGAGAATTCACTAGATTTCCTGAATCTTATTATTCACAATGGCAGGTGAAAATTCTTGCAATTTCTCATTGAGGAATTTTGTTCTTAAACTGTTGGATTATTTACTGATGCATTTTTGTCAAAGGGGCAAGCCTCAACTCATCCTTGCTCATAAAGACAAGGCCTTCCTTTTACGCTCCTTTTATACTCAAGCATGAATACATCACCTCTTTAAGACGTTTTTTGTAACATTTCCCTGCCCCAACTCTTTTGGAACTTGTTGCAAGCAGCAATTTCAGAATAGATATATATTTACAACAATGAAGTTGATAAGGTAAAACATGAAGTATATAGTACTGTTTTTGTTTAAATACAAGTCATAATGGACTTACAAATCACTAGTTTGTGTTTTATTTGGACTTCATAGTCCTTTTGGAATTTGATTTTGTATTTATAGAAATAGCATAAAATTATGAGAAAATCTTAATTGCTTTTGTTTTCCTAGTTAATAAGTATAGAGCATTTTACAGGTAAAATAATGTAGACATAAACACTGCACTGAAACACAAATCCAGTATAACCTCTGTCATCGTAGCGCTGCTGCATACAGTCAGACCGCCTCAGCATGTGAAGGCATGTGCTTATTTCATGCAGGTGGGCTCAGGTGAAGGAAAGGGCTTCAACGTTAACGTGGCATGGCCAAGTGGACTGGATACTCCAATAGGAGATGCAGAATACCTGGCTGCGTTTAGGTATAACACCATAATCTACAGCTCTTGTGTAGGACTTTGTGTGAGTGACAGTAACAGTGACAGTGTGAGGTCGGAGTATACGTTGAGAGTGTGAAGGGCACTGTCTGTGTTTTTGTTCTCTCTGCAGGACTGTGGTCACCCCCATTGCAGAGGAGTTCTCCCCTGATGTGATTCTGGTGTCCTCTCAGTTTAATGCTGTTGATGGTCACCCAACCTCTAAAGGAGGACACAGAGTGTCTGCTAAATGTAAGTACCCAACACATCCAAACTGTGCAGTCCTGTGCATTTGTTGGTTGGTAAATAAACAGAGCACTGGTATGGGCCAAAGACTTCATGTCATACACCAAAAACAGAAAACAGATACTTTAGTGCACATTTACTAAAGCCTACGGTCTAATTAAAGACTTTTTTATGATACACTCTCAGAAATAAAGGTATGAGACCTGGGGCAGTACCCCTCTTGTCAGGGAACATAACTGTACCATAATCCATTGAAATTATATTTTCTAAGCTGTGTTGACTCCACACACCCCATCTCATCTCCAGGCTTTTTATTTTATTGTTCTGTTTTAAAACATTAGGTTATAAAAGGTACAAATATGTACTTTTCCACTTCTAAAAACGTATTTAAGGTACACAATTAGACCTTAAAACCACTGTTGTACATTTGAGGTACATTTACATTGTGTGTGCCTCATTGAATGAAAAATATAACTGCACAGAGCTTTTATTTCTAACAGTGTAGAATAGATTTTTAACATTATTATTCATTCATCAAAGCAGTCATTTATTGTGGAGTCCTTTAAGCGTAGCCCTACAACACTAGTTCACATTTGGGTGCAAAGAAATTCAGCAAGATCATGTCATGTATGCAAAGCACTGCTCTTATGAAGCACCAAAAGCTATTTGACTGCTATTTGCAAGTTTTTTAGCCTGCTAAATGTGAGTGAGTGACTGACTGACTGACTGTGATGCTTTGCACCAAAAAAAAAAAACTACAACAACAGAAACTAAAATATGGACTCCATAATCTCACTTGTACAGACTTACTATGTAATTTATGAAGTTAATAGCCATTTTTTGTTTTCTAAACATACTGACATTTCCATTTTGCATTTATGAAATGTCGCTGAATTCAGTATTCAGGATTGTCCAAATGGTCCAAACGGTCTATGGGCAGATTTTAAGTGGCCCACGGCTTCTGCTTAAGAAGGTGTTATAAGTGGCCTGGTAGCCAATACGTTGCAGTTTTTCCATTCACCTGATTACGGCATTTAGTTTAGTCAAGCCTGCAGCCATAAAGCACAAACATTGACATTGACAACCTGTGATTTTGGCAAGATGGAAATTTCAACACAGCAAATACATTTGCCTCATATGTCAAAATACTGTAGTGAGTTTAATGTCAATAAACATGAAACAAAGCATGGACATTACAATAAATACTGAGGAGAGGGCAGAGAAATTAAAGCAACTGCAGCTGCCCGAGTTTTACCACACCAAGTTCTTATCAGTGCAAATTGAGTAGTTCAATAAATATTTAACCTTTTAAGACCAAATAAAACCATAGCTATTTATAAACATGGCTATTTAATCTGTTCTTCTCATTTAATAAAGTGATTTCTGAAGCTGTTATTGCGTTTGTTTGATACATAAAGAACATTCTAACAAAATTGTCCCACAAATTATATTTTTGGAAACATAAACACTTGAATAGAAATACGCTTAACGTATTAGTCACATTTTATTGTTACTCTAAAAAAACAAATCAATAATTTGTTATAAGCATTTACCGTTCCAAAATGCTCTGAATTAGCAAAACAACAATGAAATAATTGCTTTATACAGTGATTACTGTACCTTATCGTTGTATCTTTTATACCGTGAGAAGAAACACTGTAGCTCACAGAAAGCTCTGATTCTACACATTGATGCATTTCACTTTGACCAGTGTGAACATGTGTGCACCATAACTTCTCTGGTGGCAGATTTATACGTGTTTAAGGGGTCATTGCCCTATTCTCAGAATGGATTGCCAGTAAGATACTCGGTTTGATTAATTGCTCCACATGGCTGTATTTTTGATATTATGAAAACTTCTTTGTGATAATGTTTCATTTTTGCCCTCATGTGTTTTGAACAAATGTGCAATATCTGATTTTATGTTTCCATAAGTTTATGTGCACAAACGTTTGTAGACATCTGTTCATCCAACATTTCTTCTGAAATCGAGGCTATTAACAGATAGTTTGCCCCCTTTGCTACAGTAAAAACTTCTGCTCTTCTTGCTGTGAGAATTTGATTACATTCAACCAAATGAGCATTCATGAGATCAGCTACTGATGTTGGTGTATTATACTGCTCTAGCTGACACTTGGCATTGGGCATGGCGACCATGCAACATCCCATTCTATTTAGCAGTGCATTTCTATGGAGTTTCTGTGGAAGTCAGGGAAATATAATATTAAGCAAAAATATCATGTTTCACCTTCTGCTCCCACCATCCCCACCTAACATTAAGCGAAAATGCTCCGCTAACTCATAGATCCTCCCTCATACTGCGTTTCATTGGAAATATGCAGTGGTTTGAAAGGAAAATGCATTATGATTTACATGATTTACAGTCCATGCTGACTTTAAAGTATACTCTGCTGAACGTCACTAGATTTCTATCATAAGACTAGAATTTTTTCAGTAAGCAGATTTATAATGTATATTGAATTGCACAGTAAAAGTCATTATTGTGTGCTGTGTAAGCATTTCAAAACAATGAGTCAGGTTTTGTCACGGTTGTTCTGCTTCTGTGGACGCCTTGGAAAGCCTTGCTTTATTTCTCATTGCCCTCGTGTCAATGCCCCATTTATCTTGACACCATGTGAGTTCACTTTCACTTGTCTGTTTGCATGGATAATATAAACGCAACATGGTCAAAAATATTTCTTTGTTCCTCAAAAAAAGAGAAACTGTTGTTCAAAATGGGAAGCAGAACTTGGTGATGGAATGATGTAGCATTTCAGCAGCTTCTTTTTACCATGTCATGTATATTTTAACCATGACTCAGTATGTGTCAGAAGGGGTTGCTTTCCAGAGATATTCACAGTGTCAGAGTTGTAGTTTAGTTTGGAAATGTGTTGTGTGTTTCAGGTTTTGGAGTGCTGACACAGAAGCTGATGGATTTGGCCAGAGGTCGGGTGGTCCTGGCTGTAGAGGGAGGTCATGACCTTACGCCCATATGTGACGCATCTGAGGCATGCGTCAACGCTCTGCTGGAAAACAAGGTAATACATGCTGCTCCATCAACAGCCCTCAACCTGACACCACCATAACACACAATACCATGAGAACTATATGTGTGTTTCCAGGTTGAATCTCTGTCTGATGATGTGCTGATGAAGAGACCTTGTGCTGAGGCTTTTAAGTCCCTGCAGAAAGTGCTGCACATCCACAGTGAGTCCACAGTGAGCTCTCACAGCTCTCACTTCAGCCAACTCACATTATTACCTCCTCTGTCCTTTATTCTCTCTCTCTCTCTCTCTCTCTCTCTCTCTCTCTCTCTCTCTCTCTATATATATATATATATATATATATATCTATATCTATATATATCTATATCTATATATATCTATATATATATATATATATATATATATATATATATATATATATATATATATATATATATATACACACACATACACATCACTACTGTTGGAAGAAAACCTTGTATCTCCATTTTTGTAGTTTTTCAGTTATTGACATAATTTGAAAGTACCTGTTGTCCTTTAAATTGTATGTAAATTTCATGATAAATGGACAAAAGAAATGTCCCAAAATGACTTGGAAAAAAGTCTGGTTCCATTGACTTACATTAAAAGTAAAGTAGGTTTTTTCTTTTTCCTGTAAAGTTACCATTTTGGAGACAGAAGGTTTTCTTTTCTTTTTTCTTACCCTTTCTCCCACCCTTTATTCATGCTTTTTTTTACCTCTCTCTCTCTCCCCCTCAGGTAAGTACTGGAGCTCATTGAAGTCTGTAGATGATATGTTATCTCAGTCATGGCTGCAGGCTGTGAGGAGATCTTCTACAGACAGTGATGCTGCCTCAGCACTGGCCTCTCTCAGCATGACTGGACCAAACACAACCAGGTACGACCACTGTGCTGCTCAATCTGCCACAGCAGTGTCACTCTAACCCAGCTTTAAACATGCAATGGTTCTGATTTTTGTAGCTTTATTGTAATTAGTATGCATTTGTTATACCTTACTTACATACATATTCCACTTCATAGTACAATGGACAGTGTAATATCTAAAGATGGATATGTAATTGTGACAGTAAGAGGACTGCTAAAATATCAGGAAAGAAAATACCACAACAGAACTCTTTACCTGATTTCTGTAACCATTGCAGAGCACTTGAGTCAGGCGGCCTGTTTTACTACCGCCGCATCCAAAACGAGCCCATGGAGCACGATGAGAACGAGACTACGTGATGCAGAAAGATGGATGATAAAAACTTCCCCCTTAGTAAGGCGAAAAGAAGACAACCCCCTGAAACTGGAGAACAGTGACAAGACCTTTCAGCTTTACTTAAATTCTTGAACACAGCTCTGGAGACACACAGTGTTTTTACACCAATCAGTATCACAGTTATCCTAACCAAAGGTTCCTTCAGTGTTGTAAAAAAGTCACCTAAAGTGATACTTATGTGTTTCATATATATATAATAAATACTGCATATTGTTATCACACATTTAGATGAACAAATATCACTTCTTGTTTATGACTTTAAGAACACAATAAGTTGAGGTTTGTGCTGTCTTTAGAGTGAGTGATGGGCTTCAAAATGGCCAAAAGCATCAGTGTGTTAAAGCTGATCTGCAGTGTTAAATACAGCATTCAACATTTTTAGAAGAATGTAAAATGCTTTTGGAAAACTATCACATTTTTCAAACCTCAAACTAAAAAGCTGATGTCAAAGTTTCTAAAGTTTGGCAGCTCTGAGGCAGAATGTAAGAAAAGCTATGTGGTTGAATACAGACCTTGATTAGATTCAATAGTTTGCATAGACAGCTGTTTGCATCTAGATTCTGGAGGAATGTACTTTAGAGACAATTTCTGCCAGAGATATGTCAATACAATAGAGTACTGATTTCCTTATCAAGAGCAAAACAAACTTTTACTAAATGTGTTTGCACTGATTCTTTACTGACCATTTCAAAGAGGCTACCTGTAATGCCTTATACAGTACTTTGAACTGAGTGCTGTACTTTTTAGTTCTGCAGGCCACTGTGAGCAGTTTTGTCTGTGGCTTTTTACGTTCAAAATATGTTTACATTAATAAGGTCTTTTAAAAAAAACAAAAACAAACAACTTTCAGGTGATAGCATTTTACTGATCAAAACGAACTACAATTTGCATTTCAAATTATGTATGTGACTACTGTGCTCTTCTATGATGTGTATGAGTGTGCTGATAAGGCAGCCTTAAAATGCATGAAAATTTAGAAGTTCTAAATTCCTTAAATACTTTAAAAGTAATGAATGTTTTTGCCTTTTCCTGCAAAGCTGCCATTTTGTAGGTTTTTTTGGATGGCAACAATCTATAACCTGGGTATAAGAGTAAATATTTCGCTCACATAAAAGTGTATTTTATTTTATTAACATGGTGTTCAGACACTCATACATCCTTATACAATTTTTAGTCCTTACACAGTTTTATGGATACATTTATAAAATGCCTTGAAAGACAATTAAAAGTCAAAACAGCATTAAAACAACATATTTGCTTCTTTGCAAATAAAAGAAAAAAGATGGCTACAATACCAAAAAAAGGCAAGTACATTTAGTGAACTGTTACTAAAACCTGATCAGCCCAGCTTTGCCCATCATTTGGTGACATTCAACCCACTGACATCAACAAACAAAAAAGACTATAAGAACACCTACATTTCTTTCTCACATCAAATCATAACATTCACAATAAACGATGAAATGGCTCCATATACTAAAAATATATTAAAATCATGAGAACATTTTTTAAAAAGCCTTTACCAAAACTCGACAATCTGACCAACAGAAAACCACCTGCTTCAGTCGAGACACTCTTAACTGGAAAGAACGTCTATGATTGGTTGCACATTTCCACCAATCACTGATCCTCATCCATAACAGGTTATAAAGTGCTCATTCAAAAATCAACAGTCATCAAACTAGACACATTCCTGCATCGCTGGTCCTAAAAAGGCCTTTTCAACAAAATGGGTTAAGCCACACATATTGTCGAAAGAACAAGACAACAGGGACAAACACACATATAGAAGATATAAAAAAGAATTTTTTAGGTAGTTATGACAGGATAGAGAGTGAGCACCCTTAAAACATTTAAAACAAATTATAGTGCTTCTCTATGTCCCTTATCAGGGGAAATCGTGGAACAAAATCCTAAATATCTCAAGGAGGACAGGACACATCTGCTAGAGCCTTTCATAAAAGGTAAAAATATTTAAAACTGCATATTTGACACAAGACAACTGCCCAAAGGCTCATAAATGCCCACACTGATCATGCACTCAAAACAATATTTAAGTGCTGATGCAGAAAACAAGGAACTTGTCGTATAATGTGCGTTAAGCTAAGGATTCAAATAAGACCTAACCCTCATCCACTCTGTATTCTGATAGTAAAAAAAATGAAGGGAAAGACAGACATAGAAATACATAACAATTCTTTTTACACCTCTGATCATCCTTAGTCCACCCAGACCTTTGTTACTCAAGTGATTCATTAGTCCTTCCTGCTCATCAAGTGTCCATCTATTAAAAACTGCCCAGCATTTTCTTATCAACTTGTTAGATATGTGTTTTTATCTAGTGTATGAAAGTGTGTCTTTGCGTGAGGGAGTGTGTTTTAGAAGTCACTGAGAATGGAGATGTCAGCAAACTCTTTGCGGTATCTGTGAGAATACAATGCCAGCAGAAACGCCCACTTCAAACTCATGAAGCTCCACACACATGACAGAAACAGGCTGTTAGGGTCCTTCAGGGCTGTAAAAAACACACAAGGACAGTTAAAGTAACAAAACTGTTCTCTTATTCAGAGCATTCTCACTGTGCTGAATAACATAGGATCAGCCATATTTGGTATTTATTTCATTTAATTCATTTAAATCTGTTGCCAGACTATTTATGGCATGTTTTTGTCCACATTTGCCAAAGTGAAATGTATCAACATGGAAAAAAGATCTTTGTGTGCTACTGCTTTCTTTCACTATATCTTTCAAAGATATACAAGCCTACGGAAGCCGACATCTGTTTTGGGAGCAGGGTGTCAAAATTCTGACCATGTATCTCAAAAACAATGGCTTATTTTCTCAGAATATTGAATTAAAATCTTTAAATAATCACTTATTTTCTCAAAATATCGACTTAAGCCACTTAAGTCGAAATAACTGAAATAATTATGTTGAAATAATTATGTGCTTTAATTATGTACCAAATTTAATTACCTGTTTCTACATAGTATTTCAAAATCTTTAGACGTTTTGGAGATATTTTGAGAATTTTGAGATATTAAGTCAATATTCTGAAAAATATAGTGTTTGTTTTGAAAAAATAAGTCAATATTCAATATTTCAACAAACTGGGCCAGCCAATATTTCAAGATAATATGTCAATGTTTTGACATACCACTGCCAGAAACAAAAACAACACATTTTTTTTCTCTTGTGCCTGGCAGGAATGGGCTTCCAACCAAGACATACATTATTGTTGTTTCCTGGTGTGTGCACACATTCAGGGCTTATTTCAGAGCAGCAAACACTTATTGTTTTGTTTAATCAGTGTAATGATAAAATGCAAATAATGTGTGGTTTATATGCCTATCCACGTGTTTCCTTTGTTCAAAAAGGAAGGCTGTGACAACCTAAAGGAAATTCTACACATTCTGTAGATATTCTATATTAGATCTTTATACATCAGCACTGAGAAATCATGTTATTAATGGACTACGGTAAACCGCCTCTTTTCACGTTGGCTAGTGTGAAAGTCATCATGGTTATCAATCAATGTTGGTGTTATTAATCATACTCTGTGTTGCCAAGCAGTTCCAATGTGTTTTCTGGGGAACAAGGCAATATATCTAGATAGAGTCAGACACTGCTGACTCTCTCACAAAGCGCAGCTCTGTTTGCAGGCAGGGATGATCTAAGAAACAACTCAATGCCCAAGCAGGCTTCACAATACAATGCATGTTCAGTTGGAAACGTATCACAAACTGTCCCAATATTACAGCTGGCCAGCATCAACATTCAAATACCACAGTGCTCTGAGATATTACCCTAGTATACATGAGGGGACTTTAAGGTCACTGTACAGTGCACAATTCAAATCTAATTTATGTAAGGGCATTATTTACCCACCACTACATCTGTCAACAAACTTACATGCCTTCTACAGCAGTAGTCTCTAATGTGACACTTTGTGTTGAAATAATATTAAAAGCCCCGTCTGATGATGTTTCTTGAAGGTGGGAGGAACTTATGAAAAACTGCAACGGCTTTGGGGCAAATACTTGAGGGCATACGTTGAACATATTTTACGTCGCCTACACTTGTAAGTCCACCTCCTCTTAGGAGATGAATTAGCATAGTTGTGGGCAGTTCCAATTTAAATGAAAGTGCATTATAAATAAAATGCATTATTATAATACAATGTAGAAAAAACAAAAATCACATAACCGTTGAAATTTGTAACAAGCATTTAAGCATTTTCCAACCCTGATAAATAAAAGACAAAATATGATAAATAAAAGACTTTGACTTTGATCTTTGGAGGTGAGCTCTACTTACATTCTTTGCGAGACACAGCGAGACAGAGGAAGGTGATGAATGCGATGACTGACAGCAGGGAGAAAAAAATGCCCATAAACAAGAAGATCCTCAGCCCCTTCAGCCATGTTCTCCAGTAGTCCTGCAGATACATGATGTGTGTGACCAGAGTCCAAAGTGCAAGAACACCTGCAGCAGAAACACACAGAGACATTGATCAAAAACACAAATATGACCCAGCTGATTACATCTCCTTTGAAGGCCTACTCCTTATCTGTGTGCAGCATTTGGTTCTTTTTTTTCCTCTCTCTCTCTCTCTCTCTCTCTCTCTCTCTCACACACACACACTTCCTGTGTGATTTTCATGACTGTGCACTTTCCAATGAAGTCAGTTACACTTAATCTGATAGCTGCTGAAAGGGGAAGCTCATTCAAGCTCAAAGTACAAGAGGGTCGAAGCAGACTACCACTGACCCCACTAAAAAAACCAAACATGACGAATTGATTTTTTTTTTTTCAAAATGGGGGCATCGAAGACAGCAAGACTATGTATTTGTGATTCTAAACTTTATTTTAAAATATTTGCACTTATACTTAATAATCTTTAACCAAGCAGATAAACATCTTGCTGTCTTTTGGTTGATAAATAAATGCATGCTTAGCCCAGTTTGTTTCATGACCAGAACGGTGGGAAACATCATGAGGGGAAACTTGCTCCACTGTCATTCTCACAGAGTTCTTAATTATCATTCATTTACATGGTGAACACCTCCACAGATGATCCTTAGACCAGCAGGACATTACGTTGTGGTGTTTCTCCGTGATTTGATTTGAGCAACTGCCCTCCCGAACCCGACTAAACAGTTCAATACGTTACTGTGAATTTCTTCGGGTATCAAAGAACCCAACTGAAGTCAGCACACTGTAGAAATATGACGTGTATTAAGTTCTGAGATAAACAAATTTGGCGAAAAAAATGTAAGAAAATTTTAAGACACAATTCAAAGTTCAGTTCTATTCCCAACAATAGTACAATTTTTATTACTAACCGAAAAGGTATAAATAACACTTTCTGCACGTTTTACACTTTTCTGTAGCCGTGATTTCAGGAGGAGAGGTCACTGTGTTTGAGTTACAGGTCGCTGTAACACCTCTGACATTTCCATGAGCATCTTCCTGCTAAACCAGTGATATGACTGTTCTCAGAAACAGTGATTTTAGGAGACACGCGAGGTCAGACCTCTCTAAAAACGTATTTACTGAAGAACCAAAGGAACACCTCTCAAAATGTATACGTTCAGTGTTACTCACCGTAACTACAAGTTACTTACGGGCGGCTAAATCTCTGTGTTATTTACAAAATAAACAGGTGGCGAGGAAGAGAATAAGCATAAGCGCGAGTCTGATATCAGTTTATCATAAAACATGAAAGTTCTCGAGGTAACTGTTAGTGGACCAGTTGGACCAGGTGGTCCTGGCACCGTTACCTGCTAAGCCCCCCATGGCGGCGGTCCAGGGCTGTTTGTAGGCGATGTTCCAGACGAGGAAAGCGGAGAACCCGACCAGCACTCCGACACAAGCGTAGCCGAGGCTAATGTACGTCTTTTTGATAGCCATTATGTTGTTGTTGTTGTTGTTGTTGTTACGGCACGTGTCCTTAAACCCAGTCAAATAGCTCAAATTAACTGGACATGCCACTAAGAGCAGGTCGTGTAAAATGTAGCCGAGTGCTAACCGAACCCGCGGCTAGTTCGTGTTGAGTCCAGACTCCGCGCGCCGGTTCCGCACCGAAAAACACCATAAAACACCGAGGTCACCGGCTCGTTCCTGCGCTGTTACAGAGCGGTTTTCAGACGGCTCGCCGCCTCCCTCAGCAGCGCCCTGCTCAATTTATAGCTCCAATAACATGGCTTTATTATGCAATTCCCAGCCAAGGGGATTTCACACACAGCATTCCGCTTCACCGGATTCAGATGAAACTGCGACACCTACCGGCTCGGAAGACGCAATGCAAAGAAAACGCCAAGCACTTGGGGAGTTCCAACAATTTTTCAAAAAATGTCTGAAAACTTATGTCCTTGAGATGTAAACAGAGTCATTCGGAGTGGTTTGACGTGAAATGGTTAATTGTAGAGAAACTTACAGACTCTTTACAGTGGTGGTGATGGGAACCAGGGGTCGCCATGTCTCCAACAGGAACATAGCCATTTTATTTACTATCTATCTAAGACCTCCAGTAACCTACACGTGTGTTCTCAGTTTTTGTATGTGATGTTGATAATGGTTTTAAAAACTTTTCTTTGGGGACTATTTTCCTTACAACGCCCTGCGTGTACACTTTCACCATGAATGGATTAAAACAAATGGATTCAAATAAATTTTAGGCAAACACGTTATGACAAAAACTATCATAAAACAGTGTGTCAGACATCAAGCTGCATATATCTAATTATTTCATGTATGTGATGGCGCTTTTAGTGGTGGACGCCTGGTTCCTATCACCACTGTCAGCATTTCTGGCTCAACAGGTTTCTCTGGAACGGAGCGTTTCACACCAAACCACTCTGAATAGCTTTGTATACATCTCAGTGATTTCATTAAGTAGAATATTTTGAAAAAATATTTCAGTTTAAATTCAGTGATCTAGGACAGGGATGCACAAACATTTTGTCTCAAAGGGGTCCAAATGTAATGTTTGCCATTTTTGGTTGAGACCCAAAAAGACTAAACAGTACATAAAGAAGGTAGGTGGGTTTCAATTGAAGCCAAATTCAGTAAGTTACATTGAGGGGTTATATGTAATATGGCGTCATATCAGTTTAGCTTTAAGCATGTCTTTGTTGATGCTTGTGATTGTAGATGTTTTGTTTATATTTAAGTCAAAAGACATGTAAAGTTGAAGTGAATGTATCCACTGGAAGTATATTAAATTACAAAAGCAAATGCATGAATAAAGTGACATTTTGTCAAAAAGCACAGTTAAGTCAGCTAATTGGTTTTTGATTATATACACCGATCAGGCATAACATTATGACCACCTCCTTGTTTCTACACTCATTGTCCATTTTATCAGCTCCACTTACTATATAGGTGAACTTTGTAGTTCTACAGTTACAGACTGTAGTCCATCTGTTTCTCTGCATACTTTGTTAGCCCCCTTTTACCCTGTTCTTCAGTGGTCAGGACCCCCATGGACCCTCACAGAGCAGGTGGTGGTGGATCATTCTCAGCACTGCAGTAACACTTATGTGGTAGTGGTGTGTTAGTGTGTGTTGTGCAGGTACGAGTGGATCAGACACAGCGGTGCTGCTGGAGTTTTTAAATACCTCAGTGTCACTGGTGGACTGAGAATAGTCCACCAACCAAAAATATCCAGACAACAGTGTCCTGTGGGCAGTGTTCTGTGACCACTGATGAAGGACTAGAGGATGACCGACACAAACTGTGCAGCAGCAGATGAGCTATCGTCTCTGACATTATATCTACAAGGTGGACTGACAAGGTAGGAGTGTCTAATAGAGTGGACAGTGAGTGGACACAGTGTTTAAAAACTCCAGCAGCACTGCTGTGTCTAATCCACTCGTACCAGCACAACATACACTAACACACCACCACCACGTCAGTGTTACTGCAGTGCTGAGAATGATCCACCACCCAAATAGTACCTACTCTGTGAGGGTCCATGGGGGTCCTGACCACTGAAGAACAGGGTAAAAGGGGGCTATCAAAAATCACACAAGACATGGCAGGTTTCTTTTGATCTTTATTGAACACCAAACAATCAATACCTTTTTAAAAAACATATATAAAACATATATAAAACCATGAGGAAATTTCACAGTCATCATCTATAATTATCTGTAAAGGATCTTAAACATATTTTCAGCATGTCAATGGCTGCTTGGCACACTGCAACTGAACGAGGCATGTAACTGAATATTGTAACTGAAGAGGAAAAAGAAGAAGGGACAAAGATATCTGCGACTGGTTTTGTAAATTATTATTTAATTACTTCAAATATTTCAGAAAGGACGTTATACTTTAAACATAGAATTGACTTAAATTTAAGGTACACAAATTTAGGGTACATTATGAAAATTGGGATAGCTGTCAGCATCAACTATTCTCTGCGAATACTGGGAAGACTTTTAAACAGATGAAGTTACTGTTTTAGTGTAAAAAACACAAAGATTCCAGTGAGTTAGCGACTCCAGGAAAACCCTGGAGTAAACATGAAGGTCCACACTATGGCGTTCACTGGTCACAGGGCTAGTACACAGCCCTGCTCTGCTGCCAGATTATGAGCTGAGTCACTAAAAGTTGCAGTCCTGTCTAGTCAGAGTTGATTCTTTGGATCATTGTCTCCATGACGATGCCAGAGAGGAGCGTCAAGTCCTTATATTGGATCCAGTCCTGCTCTCTCACCCCCCACACGCTGCCCTCTGGCTGCAATAAAGAATTCAGACAACATTTGCAGAACTTAGCACAATGTTTCCACAAGGTTTACTCAGCGTTACCAGTCAAGTCTCAACAAGAAAAGTACATAGCAATCAGTAATCAGGGGGCAGCGTGTTCGACCCCAATGATCTTATATCGGAGCTGCAGGGCTGCAGTTGCTGAACTGAGCAGTAACGCTAAGCAAGGTGTTTCAGTCCTAGGCAGGCAGCATCTATCTGTATATATTTTTGGTTTTGTTTTAAATAATGAGTCCATTTAAAAACAAGAATACATTCAGTGTACTTTCTACAATCAAGGTTCCCAAAGGGAAAGATTACTGTGACTGCAGTTAAGAGCTGTTAGGCACACATAGGTGAGGTTTTCTGCTTTAATAAAATAACAAAACACAATATGATATAATACATCAATGTTCAATAAACTATTTAATTTATTATTAATGACAATTCTAATTCTAAAATACTAATATATAATAATGCCAAGCAATGTAGTTCATTAACAGGTGGCTATGCTATGGTTGCCTAGCAACACAGCAGTCAAAGATTATTCTATTAACAATGGATTTATTTTACAAAATTCAAGCCATGTGTGCAATCTTGTGTGCATGGCTGAGCCAATCAGATTTTAGATCTGTTTTACAGTAGTAAATATGGGATTCCCCGTTCAAGTCATACATCAGAAATATCAGCTTATTCCATTCAGTAGACCTTTCAAACTCTGTGAAGAACCAACTCATTTATTCCTGTAAATTCATGATAAACCCATATTTTTCCTGTATTTTATTCTTTTTCTCCATGTCTATTTATAATGTTTTTGTAGGTTTATGTACCAACCTCTGTGATTAATGTGATTAACCTCTGTTCTGATTGGCTGTCCTGCCTTGTGCCTCATTCAAAAAAGCAATCCAGGCTGAAACACTTATAATGTCAGTGTGAATGGGCAGAGCAATTGGTATTGGCAAATTGGCAGATATATGTAAATGTTGCTTTCCATGGCAATGAATACAACCAGGCTTATCTGTAAATGATCTTAAAACACATTTTAAGTATATCGATGAGATCACTGCTTAGCACACTGCAATTGAACAAGGCATGTATATGGATTGCGTATGTGGACTGTATGGATTGGGAAGTGAATGGTATGTTTTGAAGCAATGTTTACAAACTACATCAGACGGTTTTATTTAAAGCTACAGTAAGCAGGTTTTGGAGATTTGGAGACCTCTCTGGTGGAAATGTGTATAGTCTATATTTGTCTAATTATATACATTGCTGTAGCAGCAGAACTGTCTGTATCCAAAAAAAGTTTATGTCATATGTTTATCCAATAGTTTAATCTAATGAGAGCACCGACACTGATAATCCTGCTTGATAATCCATCTTTCGTACATCATTTCGTACATCAGCAACCAATGCACTACTATGCTTGTACACTTACCTTTTCTTCTTCATCAACATATATGAGGATCACATCTCCTTTTGTGAACAACAGAAGAACACCTTCATCCGATTCCTGGTTCTCCAAAGCGGTAGCCTGAAAAAACGAAACACGTTACATCACTAACAACGTACAGTCTGGACTGTTACAATAGAACAATAGAACAGTTTCCTTGTACCTTGTAGAGGAAGCCCGGAGGGTTTGAGCTGTTGGCCTTTTGGCTCGTTACCTCCTCTTTTCCTGTCTTTAACTCTTCTGTTTGGTCCTCCACTTTTCCACTTTCTGCTTTCTCACCATCTGCTGCTTCCTCTACCTTTACTGGGGCGAGTGATCGGGCAGCAGGCACTGGAGCTGCTTTCTCATTCTCATTCTGTGAAGGCACAGGCTCCTCACTTGCACCTTCAGACGGTGTGGCTTCTGATGCATTTCTATCCTCAGATGTAGGTGCAGAAGATGCAGCATCCTCACTTTGTTCTTCTTCATCCTGCTCACTGGCAGCTGAACTTCCTGGCTGCTCTTTATCGACCGATTGTACCGACTGGTCAGCAGCAATTTCAGTTGTGCTCTCATTGGCTATCCCGGACTTGACCCCCTCCCCCTCTGAGCACACAGACTGCCTGTTGGGTGTATTTGGCACACTATCAACAGAGCTGAAGTCATCAGAGTCTGATGTTTCTGCTGTTGTGGTTGCAGCCTTTACTGGAGTAGAGTTTGAGTCTGTGTCTTTGGCCATGAGTTCATCAGGCACACTGAGCTTGCCCAGACCCGGATGATCGGCAGGGAAGGCGGTGTTACAGGGGATGGGTGCAGAGATAGTGAGAGATTTCCTCTTCTTTGACTTAGTGCTGATAAAATGAGAAAAAAAGAGACACACAAGAATGTGCATAGGGGCTATTTAATCAGATGGCGTTTGAAAAATATTATTAGTAGTGTTGGCTATGAAATATTTACTGTCCTAACAAAACCTCTCAAATCTTTGAAATGGTAATCTTTTACAGAAGAAAGTAAAAAATTTTGTTAAATTAAATGTACATTGGTGTAGAGATGAACAAGCAGAATCAGCAGGTAATTGCTTTAAAAACAAAATAATCTGCATTGGACAGATGTTTAGTTTTGACCCATATTTCAAACTGTATTTACTGTACTCAAGAAGAGCAGAACATTTAGGTGACATTGGGATAAACTTCTCTGTAATGATAATCCATCCAGCTTCTAAAGTTTTGTAAATGTTTATGTATCGGCATTGACAAATATGTACATCAACAATCTCGGATATCAGCATTAGCCCACAATTACCATATCTGTGCATCCCAACATTAATGTTAAATTTGGAACATTTCTGTTGGTCCATTCACTGTGAAAATGTTTGCACAAAAAAAAGAATGAGATTGATAGCAGACATAACAATATGCACATAATGACATATAGACATTGAGATTTGTACCTGTTGAGGCCTTTGATGATAAAGGTCTTTGTGGAGTGCTGCGTCTCAAGCTTCTTCATTACATTATATATGTCATGATTTAACTGGAAAAAAAAAACAACATCAGTCAGCTGCATTCATTTCATCTAATCAAACAGACTGAAGTAAAATCTCAAAAACTTGCTAAAGTGTTAAGGGCTACCAAATGTCAGTGTGACATATGATGCAATGGCTATGACCAAAACGGATCCCCATTTGCATTTTCGGGCAGCTAATGAGTATGTCAACTATTTTTCTTAGTACCAAATTGTAAAATGATCATAAAATCCTAATCATAAAATTCCAGAGCTATTCTGAGGGTGCTACAATCGCACCCAATGCACTTGTAATGTCTAGTAAACACCGTAGATCACTCTTCATCAGAATGTATACCAAAGTGCAGTATGAGTCTCTTACTATGCAATAGACACAGAAGTTAAGTGAGCAGTTAAGTGAACAGTGACCTCTGAAACACTGAAATTGAAACTTGACGAAATGAAACAAGACTCTCTAGAGAAACATTTTAAAAACAACACCTCTGTACAGCTTATAACCAAGACCTTAGTGTTGATCATGCAGCAAAAACACTGCCTGGTAACTGCAGGTTAATGCAGTCATAGACCAAGAATTAAATATGAACCCTAGTCAAGTTTCTTCACTTTTTCATTGTCCCTCACACGTTCCAAAATATTACAGCCATGATTACAGCTACGAATAAGTTTCTAAGTGCAAACTCTCACAAGCAACTAAAGTTGGTCTGTTAATACAACTGGTGAATACTGGCACAGGCTCATGAGAAAGCGCCCAAGTTCATTTAATGATTAATGTATTTTTACTGCTGTTTAATAGACTAAATAGTGTTCCCTATAAAGCACAGTACTACTGCGGGGGAAGAGATCCATTTTCGTCATAGCCAATGACTAGGATTTTTAATTACAGCCAACATTAAAGAAAAAGAACAATAAACATAAAAACATTTATAGAACTCTCAAATCTAGCAAGCAGTAAAAAGAGCAAAAGGAAAAATGTATGACAGGCAACATTTTGAGGGGGTGTTATAAACCTACAGGTTTGAAATGAATGGATGCTTCTTGATGGCTCACACCAACACAAACATGCACAGACAGACAAGATGCACACCTACCACACTCATTTCCTTGTAAAAGACATCCCTTAGGTTGGAGATGTTCTGAAACACTGTCACATAGCAGCCAATGCGACTGAGAGCAGAACAGACAGAAAACAGATTCATTTACATTTCACATTCAAACATTAAAGCCAATAAATAAACAAGAAGCAGCAGACAACTTGACCATATGGTCATATGATCTTTGAAAATCTTTTTGAAAAAAAGTTGTTAACCAGAGCTGCATACACTGTGCAAAAACCGTCCACATTCACTTAAAGGGGAATTCCTCCAGCTTTTCAAAATTCCTCTAAAGCATAAAGTCATTCAGTGTGGTCTGAAGAGCAATGTGCCATTTTAGCGTAACTTTGAGTCAGAATTATCCACAATAGTGGTAGATAGAAACCACATGTCTGAAGCATTTAATGCCTCTAAAATCTCACTTGCATAAAGTTAGAGGTTCATGCAGGGTATTGTAAGGTAAAACAGTACCCAAAGAAAACGTATTTTTGCAGACTTACCCCTATTTTACCATTATCAACATTACATATAAAAACTCAGATGACACGTAAGTTCACTGGTCATTTTGGATAGTAAATAAAATGGCTATATTTGCATTGTAGACATCACAACCCCTGGCTCATATTCAGAGTTTCTCCAGAATGCATTATTTCACATCAGAGCACTGAATGACTGTTTACATGTCAACCACAGAAGTATGCAGAAATTTCGAAAAATTGGTTGAACTTCCCTAACTACATGTAGCAAATCATATGGGGGTGAGAGTGTCTTGATACGGGGAACTACATCTTTGGCTCTATATGCAAGGCCATGTCTGAAGCATTTGTTACAATGTAAAATGAATATGGTAACATTCACTTTATTACATTAGGACTGAATGTTCTAGATTAGAGATTGTGCAAGGCTCACTGAATAGACTATTCTAAAATGGCTCTGAATTACTGAGGAATAAGTTACAGTTAGCAGTTTTTTCTTATCTCTCATCGATAGCTATCAACCAGGCTCTTATAAAAAATTCTAATCAAAAGATCCAGACATTTCTGTTGGTGTAAGATACTGCTGTCACATGTGGGATCCAGAAGGTTTTGCCTTGTCTTGTTTTGTTTTTTCCATTTTGTAATCCAGTGAAACACTGACCTTTGATAAAGGACGGGCAGTTCCTCTCGCAGTTCTTTGTTGATGTCCTCAAACACACTCTGCGCTTTGTTAAACTCCTCCTCTGCCTGAGGAACACCAGGAATAGTCAGCCAAATAATAACATCACCATACACATACCATAGCTGAGTGAAGGCTGTTTATCCCTGTAGTAGTTTTACAGGAAAATGAATTAAATGATTACTCACTTTGGCTATTTTGGCTTCGTCTTTCTTTTTGGCGTTCTGCAGTGCCTCCAGATGGTGGCGAGTAGAATCGTAATCCACCAGCTTACGTCCACGCTTAGCTACACGTTCCTAAAAGCATATGACACTCTTAGCTGTCTTTGGAGAGGGCTAAATTAAGAGCTCTTTAGAATTCACAACAGTTTCCGAGCTAAAAACAATCTCTCATATTAAGCTGTTCATACTCTGATTATGTATTTATATGACAACTTCATTCGTTAATCTGATCAGCTCCGCAAACTGCTTTTGCCATTAATTTATGGACGTTATTTGCATTAATGGCCAAGCTTCATTGTGAAATTTCTTGATATATAGAAACGATTCTTGGTTTACAAGTGGAACTGAAATTCTCACTTTGACATCTGGGAACTGGCTAGTGTAGTTCTCCATTGTGCGAATAACCTGATCACTCAACTTCTCCTCATAATCATTCCAGAGCAGGTCCTCACTCTGAGAAGGAGAGGGAGAGAGCAGTTTAGCTTTATGTTTGAATGAAATATACAGTGATAGGTTTAAGGAAGACTGACTCACCTCCATAATGACAGACAGGTCCTCTATACCCTGCCAGTCTGACTCATAGATTTCTTTCAGAGTCTGAGACAGACGTTTGGACGTCTCATGCATCACTAGACAGCAGAAAGAGCAAAAGCACACACCATCAGGAAGGCCATAAGGAACATATGGCAGTACCCTGAGAGTTTAGCCCGGGAGCCACCTCCTGAATTCTTCTACTCTTCTATACTGATTCAACTACACTTTCTACCAACTATCAACTTTACATCCCCTGAAAACACCAGTTGCTTTACATTAGGTAAAATAGTTAGACATAAAATCTCAATACATTAACTTCCATTAAAGGTTAACAACGTTCTTTCTCATGAAAAATGTACTATTCCACAGATGTGAGGTTCTGTCATACATTTACATAAAATCTTCACAAACTGGTATTTTATTATATGAGTATTTTATACATATGAGTAGACAGACTGAAAGACAAGTGAAGAACTTGAATATAGTTATAAACTAGAACTTGAATATAAAGAATATAGTTATTTCATTGCTAATTATTTTTAATATCTTAAAAGCTAGCCCTAATTCCAACATTATAATGTTTTGACTGCTTGGTCATTTTACTTTAGATTGAAAGTCTCACAAGAAGAGGAAAACAGCACGTAACTTTATCTCATATGTCAATTTACAACATAAGAGCTACAAATTTATACTGTTAATCTATAACACTATTTATTTATACCTGTACTTTTAACATGAAAAGAAATGTAACTACATTACAATTTAGAGCTAGAGAAATTACTGCATCAGTACTTTGTACTGTAACAGTATTTTGCAGCTTACTGTATGTGTGCTGTAAATCTACAAAATTATACATTTATTTATTTCATTATATATGTATACTCTTACTCCTTTATTACGCATAAACATTTAAACTACTCTACACAATTCAGAGCTATGAAAACCTGTGATAAGACAAGGATTATAGTCATTTTTGCCTTCTAGTCATCATGTCTAGTTAACAGCCATAACATCTTTCCTGCATGAAGACTACACCCCTACACCTACATGTAAAAGAAACCACACGGCAAGTATAAAAACAAACAGTGGTTTCCTGTGAAATCAGGAGAGAACACTCTCAAAAACTCTTCTCTTCTTTTTCAAATAAGCTGCTGTATTTGACAGTACGACACTGTGGTAATTACTCCTACATGGCAAAGCCTGGCACATGCAGTTATAGACAGCATTTCACAACAAGCATTTTGAGCACACTATTAATAGCTTACATTCACTTCCACATTATCTCTCAGCCTATGCAGGAAAAGAGAAACACAACCAGGGTCATCTCTGCCACTCCCCTTTCCTAACATGCACGGAAATATTTTCAATTTCTCTTCTCCACCTGAAGACATAACACTAAACATTCCGCAATGACTCTATAGAGAGTGGAACAGGTAACGTACATGCAACTAAGTGTAAAACATCACTTCAACGTCATGAAGGGTCACTGTGTTAAGAGAACTCTTTAGTTCCATACTCCCAATAAATTTACCTGAAGTACTGTATAGACACTTAAAAATATAGCTATATAGATACAGCTGAAAAAGACATTCAAGGCTTATAACTACAAAGACTTTTTACCATGAAACAAAGTGTTCTATAAAAAAGGAAGAAATAACAGCTAGCTGATAAATGATAACATAAGTGAACTTCCCTACATATGTGTTGATGTAAGTGCAACATAAACATTTATCCTCTTTACTGGTTTCCTAGCCTAGCTCTGGGCTACACAGCACTCCGAATAGAGATTCTACATCAGAAGGAAAATGTAGTCTAGGATTAAGAAACCAGCCCAAAAGTATTCGGACACGCCCTCTAATAAGTGATTTCAGCTACTTTAAGGAGCACCCATTACTGACACAGGTGTTCAGTTGCAAACACCCAGCTTGTATACTCTCCATCATAACTTCCATTAAAAAAGCACTGCCAATAGAACAGGACTCTCTGGAGCAGTCAATATGAGCCTAAGGTCCCCATGCCCAATGCCAAGTGCCAGCTAGAGGGTATAAAGGCCCACCAGCACTAGACTGTGGACGAATTAATCTGTGGATCTGTGTTCTTTAGAGTGCCATAGTGCCATTAATGCAATCGAAATGAGCTGGAGTAGCATTTGTTATACAGGACCAATCATCCAGCATCCGTACCTGACCTCACTAATGCTCTTGTGCCTGAATGCAATCAAATCCTCATAGCAATGTTCCAACATCTAGTATAAAGCCTTCACAGAAGAGAGTATTACTGCAGCAAATTGGGGTGGGGGGTAGTTTATCAACAGCTGTGCGTGTAAGTTGTTTATTAAAGGTGACTGTACCTTTGACTGCATTGTAGTAGGACTTCACATCCTTGAACAATCTGGTACCATCCGTCTGGCAGAAAGCAAAGGCAATTTTGACATTAAATGTGTTTCATTCAAAAACAATTGCAATTAATTAAACATTTTCTGCTTTGCAGCTTAATTTCCATGTATGCACTGTATGAACTGGGGAGTGAATGGTACTTTTTAACAGTGCTTACATATCACATCAGACTATTTCATTTCCAAAAAAGTGAAGAAAATACAGCCCTCTATCCTATGAGCCCTTTAATACTACATACTTTTCTTGTATTGTACATTTCACTTTGTCTTCTTTATTTGCTATAAATCCTTGTTCTGCATTAACCAAGAACACAACAGTACCATTCCAAGTGTTTAGTACCCTACCAAAAGTACTGGGACACCTTTTCTGTGGGTGAAACATATTGTCCAGAAAATGTGCAAATGAGTTTTAAGCTTAGCAGAAAGAGCAAAAGCACACATAGATGTTTGATCATAGGATTTCACTTCAGACAGGTGTCAGTATGAGACACACTGCAATGCATGTGGAAATTCCTATATCTTGAAGAAATGGAAATCTGAAAGTGTTCATAGCGTTACAATTCTGAATGAACTAAGATACCACACACTAAGATGTTCACGACTGCATAATTCATATAAGTGAGGTAGATAGCTACCAGCCTTCATATTATAAGGAACTGAAGGAGATTCAATGATGCATTGACAGATTTTTGGGTTATATGCTGATATACATCATTTTAAATTATGTCACACACACACACACACACACACACACACACACACACACACACACACACACACACATATCTATGTATGTGTGTGTGTGTGACATAATTCAATCTATAATTCAATCAATTATTTGAAAAAGACTTGCCCATTAAACAAACTATGACACACTCTCACATACAGTGAGCGAGTGAGTGAGAGTGAGAGCATTCTGACTGCACAGTATGGGTGGAGGTGTTTCCTGTGATACATTTGCTAATGTTGATACAAAAAATGACATTTACTAACCGTTATAAACACTGTACACTTATTAAGACTCTAAACAATTTGGACTTTGGGAGCAAAGGGTAACCTACAAAGGTCCTCGTCATTTGACAGAAGCTGATTTCACTCAGAGGCCTAAGACTTCAGTGAGGTGACCAGCAGTAGCATTAGTTGTCATATTTCATGGAGCATATATAACTTATATTACACTAACGAAAGACAAAAATAATTAACGGCTTAAAGGGGAACTGCACCAATTTTTCAAAATTTCTGCATAATGGTGTGGATACGATCATTCATTCAGAGTGGTTTGATGTGCAATGCATCATTCTAGAGAAACTAAACAAGTGAGAATTGTTCACAGTGGTGGTCAGAGGAACCAGACCTACAAGAGTTTAATGTCTCTAAAAGCTCCCTCACAGAAAGCGGTTACATGACATGGTCACAAATACGCTGTTTTGAGATACGAGTTTGGCCTAAAGCAGATTTGTTAAACAGAGATATATGCAGGGCTCTGTAAAGGCTTTTTTCAGATTTATCATCTTGCCATTATCAACATTACAGATAAGAACTCAGAAGACACATGTAGGTTCACTGGTGGTTTTGGATAGTAAATAAAATGGCTATATTTGCATTGTGGACATCACAACTCCTGGTTGCTATCACTACCACTGTAAAGAAGTCAGCAAGTTTCTCTACAATTAACTTTTTCACATCCGACCGCTATGAATGACTTTGTTTACATCTCAACCACTGAATTATGCAGAAATTAAAGATAAAAATGATGGTGAAAACAATGGTATTATATGCATGCCATATTTGAGGACATAAGCCATGTTAGCCTTTGACTTTCCTGAATGTAAACACCCTTCTTCAGGATCCGTATGCACAAGTTACCTGTTGTTTGTTTAGATTGGCTGAGCACTGCTCAAACTGCTCATCTTTCGTCTCCATGGTTTTTCCAAGTTTCTGCAGGACCTGTATCAAAAATACAAAGCACTTCAAACATGGAGATCACATCTAGACAGAAAGAGCAAAGCAATGAAAACACGTGTTCTGAGACTGAATCTGATCCTGCTGATCTCTTCTGCTCTTCTAGTGTTGTGAAATGTTTCTGAGTAAATAATCCAAACAGCTCATCGCTGGACAGGAAGACAGTTAAGCACTTCCAGTGAAGGCGGCATCAGTAAGTAACAGCCTGAGGTGTGGAGACATCACAAATGTTCTTAGCCCGACTCAAGTGCTCTGTACATCGTCAGTGTTGGAACAAAACCTTGTATCTCCATTTTTAAACTTTTTCATTTTTCTTTTTACATCATTTGAAACTGAAAGCTGCCATTTAGACTGTATCAAAATTCCATCATGAATAGACTATGGATAGGCCCAAAATAACTCACTTCCATTGTAAGAACACTCTTTCATGTTTGCTTCTCCTGTACAGTTACTTTTCTGGAGATCTGAGGTTCTGTTCTGACCACAGCAATATACTCTAGCCTGAACCTTTTCTTTTTACAGGCATTAATCAAGCTGGACTGGTGGCTGGTACTGATGCCATTGATAGGCTGGCATATTACAATAGATAATGAACAGTTTGATCATTTTCCTAATACTGAACATCTTTATATTGATTCTTATCATAATCATCAGTATCTTTCCAACTTTTTTTTCAGTATTTTTGTTTTTTCAGTATAAACAATGAATAAGTCTGCCATGCCAACAAAACAAGCACTAGAGAGAGAGAGAGAGAGAGAGAGAGAGAGAGAGAGGGAGAGGAAGTCAATGAGGGCAGGAAGCAGCACTTTTTTTTCTGTTTAACCCAACTACAACAGCTTCCACACAAATAAGCACACAAACCACTCAGGACAGCTAATATAGTCTTGCCTTTCTATCCTCAGGACTAGAATGGCTCATAGGAGTAGCTACCGCAGAGACAAACACAGAGCACAAGCACACACACATCATACGATGTGCGCTGTTCTGATTTCTAACTCCACCACGTACCTTCTCTTGAGCTCTGTTCATTGATTTCTGAAAGCGTTTAGCCAGGATGCCAGCTCCAGCGCCTATGTTGCCCCCAATGTTGCCACTAAGTTTACTCTCAGCCATCTTTACGTGTTGAGGTCTGTCAGCACTCAGACACACACTTTCTCTCCGAGCGCCTCTTTGCTTCCTTTTTATGTGGTGGCTCTTGTGACTTCCTTCAATGTTAGCATGGGCGGAGTGAGGAGGAGAGAGAGGGGTGTAAAAACACATTAGTCAGTCACAAACTGGAGGACTTCAGGGTTGCGACACACCGCTCACAGCTCAGCAAGTGTAGCATGCAGTTAACCTTCATCATGTTCAAACTTGTCTGCTAAACTGGAAATGACGAGCGAAGACACGTTAAATGCGCCTCTCAGAGATTCACAGAAAGTAGCTGGAGGTGGCGTCAAATCCAGCATGGTTAGCGTTACTGGTGGTCCAGAGCTTCTCTAGGTAGAGGCTAATTCTCTCAATGGATGTGTCGAGCAAACTAGGTGTGAAGTAAAAGAGAATTCGACCGAATTTTAAAGATTTTGGGTAATATATTCGGTGTAAACATTATTATTATTATTATTATTGTTATTATTATTATTACTATACAGTGTACAGATATACAAGGCACATAATGCAAACAGGGCACTGAAAGACCACCATGGGGGGAAGTAGCTTAATGAGGGTCTTCATCAATCAACACAAATTGGTCAATTAAACAGTCTATGGGCTTTCTTGTTTTTCATACTTAGCCAGAGGCTCATACAACAAATGAAGATCCCATGTATTTAGTTTAGAAATCACCTGAATTCACCAACACTTGTGTATAAAGTATTTGCATAACATAATCAAAATATTCACCAAAATTTCACATTTCACTCTTCCAGGAATAGGCCGACCTCCACAGGCGTTTCATAAAGTGGACGCACCTCAATATTTTTAGTCCTAATCCAGTTTTGAAAGGATGTCCAGAGTTTGTACCTTTTCCCACTGACAGGATGTTCCACAGTTTCAGTTGTTCACAGTGCTGGTGATAGGAAACAGACATCAGAAGTGTTTAATGCCTCTATAGTCTACCTCACAGAAAACTATTACATAAAATGGTTATGAATACATTGACTGATGCCTGAGATATTGTTTTATGATAGCTTTGCAGTAAGATTTTGGTCGAAGGGTTGAGGTACAGTTCAAAATTCGGAACTGTGCCTCGAGCCCTTCGAGCTTCAAGTACAGCTCGGCTGGACCCGCCATCCTTCAAGATGCGTGGAAGACAAGCATCAAGACTTTTCTCTGTCCTGGCACCCAGGTGGGGGAACAAACTCCCACTGGCTGTCCGAACAGCAGAGTCTCTTGCGGTCTTCAAAACGCAGACTGAAGACACATCTCTTGTTACAGTACTTAAGTGAGCACTAAGCTACTTAAGTACTCATTGAAATGTAGAAATGTATTGTACTGCACTTATTGAGATGTATTGTACTGGGCTATGTTTAATTCTGTTTTAGTAAAGATACTTTCTCTAGTTGGACAAAGCACTTTTTTGTAAGCCACTTTGGATAAGAGCGTCTGCTAAATGTAAATGTAAATGGTCTATAAAGGACAAATACATGCAGGGTGTTCTAAGAAAAATAGTATCCAAAGAAAACGTTTCTTTTTTCCACATTTGCCACTATTTTACCATCATCAGTACTACATATAAAACTTAAAAGAGGTTCACTTGCTGCTCTGGATAGTAAATAAAATGACTATAATTGATTTGTTGACATTGTGGCTTTCTGCTCTCTGGTTCATATCACCACCACTGCAAAAAAATCTGAGTCTCTGCAAGTGTCTCTACGATGAGCTATTATACATCAAACCACTGTGAATGACTTTGGTTACATTTCAACTGTTAAATTATGCAGTTTTTTCCCATAGTTTCACAAATTGCTGGAATTCTCCTTTAAGTTAAATGGATGAAATAGCCAACTAGCTTAATAAGCATGGTTTATTCATTCACCTTCTAATCCTCTTATCCTCCTGGGTTGCGGGGGGTCACTGGAGCCTATCCCGGCGGTCATTGGGCAGAAGACAGGAAACACCCTGGACAGATCACCAGGCAATTTAGTATCTCCAATTTGCCTGACTGCATGTCTTTGCATTGTGGGAGGAAGCTCATGCAGAACTCCACACAGAAACCCTGGTCACCCAGCCAGGGAAACAAACCCAGGCTACCCACTGTTTATTCAGCTACAGTGATTAAAGTGAGATTAGTTGAATAATTTGTGATTGTCACTGACAGACATGTGGGATTAAGATTACTAGGCCTGCTGTTTAGTTTTACCTACACTAAACCACATTATGAACAAAAAAAATAATAATAATTTGTAAAACAATAATAATGAAGAAAGGGCACATTTTTCATGGCTTAATCGACAGTTTAATGATGTTTGTTTGAGCACATACAACTTTAAAATATACACAATAAAAAAATTGTCTTAGTTTTTCATAATTTCTGCCTAGTAAATATACATCGTCAGATGATAACAATAACACAGTTTAAGAGAAAATCAATCAATATTATCCTTCCAGCTCTTCTGCAGCCAAATCCAGAGAAATAGGGCTTTTGTGGTTGAGGTAGTTGCCTTTAACTTTCCTTCCTGCCCAATTCTGAAGTGTTTTGGGTTATTATCTTTCTGAAGAATGAAGGACTTCTTCACTAACTGTAACCCTGATGAATGACCTGTTTCCTAAGTAGTAAGTATGACATGGAAAAGATCACCACAGTATCCTCCATGATCAGCAGTGTGAACATTACATGTACATGAACTCATCCTCTTCATCTTATTTCTAATACCCAGAGGGAGAATGTAGACCTATTCAAATCTGACTCATTGATCCGTAAGCTCAATCAGCTTTGATTTCAAGAATAGTTAATTGCCAGTTTTGCAGATCTTTGACTCAAATGAACGGATCTTGTCTGACCTGAGTGCTTGCTCTTTGTTTTGATAGTCTTTATTTCTTATACAAATTATAAACCTGCCAAATTACAGTACTTTATTGACTGTATTTAGCCATTTTGACATGTTTTGCTCCTAACATTCACCTGTTAGCAATGAGGTACCAAATGTAACTTAGGGAGCAGGCTATTGTTACATAGAAAATTAAATAAATAAAATTCACCCATGATTATCTGTTTATGTAAATAAACTTATCATGTAATACATATCTAAAAAAACCATTGAATACACACATTAAAGTCACATTTACACAGTTGAAATATGAAAAAGTGGTGTACTGATGAACATCAGTACACCTGTTGCTCTGGTGAACATCCTGTAGTAGGCCCAAGTTTGTGAACAGTGCTACCTTTTCACCACAGGAGGGCAGTGTTGGTAGTGTTTTTGTTACCATGCCACCATGTTAACTCACACCAGGTGGTGTGCTGAACACGTTGTTTGCACATTTCATAATTCTTACATGTCTTTATCCATTTTCTTATGATATTTAGTAATTCTAAACAGCATGTAATAAGTATTGTTTTATAGGAACAGATAGACATAGTAGGCGATAGTAGGAATAACCCTGCAGAGTGTTTACTGATTCCACTAGGCCTTAATTTTTATCTATATATCAGATTAGCTTTCTTCAGTGCACAGGACAATTTCCTCCTGGCTCTTATTTCTCTAACACATTTGCAGTTGCCTTGACCCAGTTGTAGAGACGCGGCTGCACTCTGTTGCAAGTTTCCAGAAATATTCATCACAGCGTTAACAGACCTTGACCATCACCATTTAAGACAACTCTACCACATCTCCCCACTCACTTACAGAAACCACAGCTTATCTCAAAACACCCTTCAACACTTCTGACACAATGGTTTAATGACATGAGGGCTTTAGATCTAGATTTAGTTTTGCCGAAGGCATTGGTAAAATGCATGAAAAATATTAAAATGCAGGCCAAGTAATAGTTGATTCGTGTGAATTTGGCTAGTGTTGTTTTAAATGGGTTGACCAAGGCTCCAGGCTGGCCAGTCTAAGTTTGAACATGTTTAGCCAGGCCTGTGATGCCCTGTACAGAGCGAATCACATTTGACAATGCTTAATCCAGGCCAGTTCAAACAATGCCACTGCTCATCTCTCCGGGACACAGTCTGGCCCTCTTACACAACGCAGTCAGTGAGCTCCCTGATTAAGCACACCCTGGGGGGAGGGCAATGGGGTTGAGATGTTTTAGCACTCTTGGAGTTAAGTGTCCTGGTTAAAGGAAATGTAGGGACAAGTGTCATGATTGGAATTCAAAGGAGAATCCTCACCCAGTAGTCAGTGACTGTGTTCAAAATGATTAGACATGCACTCAGCCTATATTATTGTAGTAGTGTATTAGCCAGCTAATATTAGCTTTAGAGAAAAGAACTTAAACTGCAAGATCTTGGAACTGAAAACATGTGGCTTGCCTCCATGTAATCTTATTTATAAAAAAGATCATTTAAATGGGTTGAGTTATTTAAAAAAATCTATTAAGGACTTTATAAGGACTTTTTAAGGACTTAACAAATAGTGGAAAGCAAAGCTTATCTTATTCACTTTGCAATACAACAGACCCTCCATTGTCTAGACAGAGCACTTGTAAGTGGAGAAAGGCAAGATGGAGGCTCTGCCTGCAACACAGTTGGGGCAGAAAAAGGGTCAAGGGTAGCGCACCGCACTGCCTACAACACATTGTTTTCAATGGAGTGGTTTGATGTGAAATGGTTTATTGTAGAGAAACTTACCAACTCAGATTCCTTCACAGTGGTGGTGATAGGAACCAAGAGCCACAATGTCTACAGCTCAAATATAACCATTATTCATTACCAGTGAACTTACCCATGTATGCTGAGTTTTAATATGTAATGTTGATCATAACATTTAAAACATTGATAAATAAGTTATAAATAAGTGAAAAAAAAAGATTTTCTTCGGGGACATCCTGCATGTATCTCTTCACCATGAATAGCTAAAGAATTAGATTTTGATTGATTAATGATTGAATTATGCAGAAAAATTTGAAAGATCAGTTGAATTTACCTTTATTGTTTATATTTGGGATCTGTTGCAATTTCCAGAATTCAATTTATCATTAGTTTTTCTCAAGGAAGCCTGGATCACTGAGAAACTGAGCAAGTCTGACTGAGAGTAAACCCTGCCTTGTCACAGGCAGCAGTTATTTATCTTGATTTGATTAACTTGTACTGACTTGTATGCTTGTTCTCCTGTAGGATGGTTTGTTTTAAGCTTGTGCTTGCAAGTTCTTGCAGTTGCTAGTGATTCTTGTTCTTGACTCTCTTTGTCACACATCTCTAATATTAGACTGCCAGTGTCATATCCTCTCCCTGAAAGAAGCAGAGCCCTTCTCCAATAACGCCTACTAATTATTAGGGCCAATGAGATTAAGATTAACCCTGGATGGCATGACGGGACATGAATAAAGGCCAGAGTGAAGGCGAACTGAAACTTTCTAGACAGCACAACCAAAAATGAAGCGACGCCCGTAGTCAGAGCCGCAGCCTAAAAAGCACAGAATGAATGGATTCATTCAGCTGATGCCCACCCCCCTCCTTTGCTTCCACTCCAAACAAACACGGACAAATTGTAGTTTCTCTCCACATATGCACATCTCCTTCACTCTGCTCTGTGCAATTAAACAGCAAGGAGGCCGTAAGACTGTGCCAGTGCCAGCTGCTCTAGTCCCGTAATGATACTGTCAGTACAGCAGTATGTAGATGTATGGAGAATGAGTGGTGTGAAATAAACTGACCCTGCAGTCCTGGTTGCGGACTCATGGTACATTCTGAGTGCATGTGTGGCCTCACGCATTCCTGACCTCTCTCCCCATGTGAAAGTCTCATCATTACAGTCCTGTGCATGGAGAATTAATTAGTGTTTTCATTTAGGAGTTTCCATTGACTTTACTTTTTATGAGAGTTTATTTTCCTGACAAGCAATTATTGTTTAACATATTGGATAAAACTTCTGTAAATTAATAGAAATTATGGACTGAAATTAGCAGAAAGATGGTAAATAACGTGTCTCAAAATGCTTTCATTTCTCATTCTTTTACAGAAAAGGTGACAAACGGAACAAATCAGGTCAAAGCACACATAATATAGTCACAGTGTTCCAATGCAACACTGCAGTCCTGCATATGTCACTGCATATCACAAAACGTACTATTATGATGCATGCCTAGTCAGTCAGCCACGTTTAGAAAAACAAGAAATTAGGTTAACAAGATAGCTCTTAATTAAAGACCATTAAACAAAGCATTTAAGCTGTCAAGAATGATTTGGACAACCTTACAAACGGAAATGTAGCTTATTGGATTGGTCATTATATAAGCTGCTAGATCAGCAGAATCAGTTTATTACGTAAGACCCCCGTGCCTGATTCTGTCACGCACTCATCTGTCTCCTTCTTTAAACCAGCATCTTTTTTTCTTTTCACTTCCACATAAACATGGAGTTAGTCAAATAAGCGTTGAATAAAGAAGATAAACAGGGCTGGGCAGAATACTTTGAAAAAGTAGTGATGGCTAAAAACTGAATACACTGTCCTAAATGTATTCAGTAACATATTCTATTACAATACATAAAACACTATTCAGAGTACATTTAGAATACCTTTAAAATTTGATGAGGCACATGGGAAAAAAAGTGGGCAAAGAAAATCATTGCTGACTCCTTACACCCTGAAAATACCTGAAATGTACAACTCGTATCATCATCTATTATGTAAGACAAATTCCTTGTATGTGCAAACATACCAATAAAGCCTGATTCTGATTCATCATCCAGCCTCAGAAGTAGCACTGAAAGTGTAGGTGTGTGTCAGTCAAGCTGCAGCCACCACATCCACACTCCAAGGCATGCGCTCTAGAGTAGTGACGCAACAGCATCCATGGCAAAGCTACGTTTTCCCTCGTTTCTCAGGGTCACTGAGTACGAAACCTTCCCCTTCCTACTTACACACACAAACCATCCCCCTTCACTCGGGCACATACAGCACACACTAAGCTGGAGGCCTACTTCCCTTCCCCCACGTCTCGCGCACTTTTTCTAGGCTTTAGCCAGTTCATTTGCCATTGGGATCCCGTCACAACAGACAGACCTTTCAGCCAGGCTCAGATTTCAGGCCATAGCAAATGCATTTCAACATTAGGCCTCATTTCTGAAAAGAATTACATATGATTCATGAGAAAGACCGTCATTTGGAATTGTGAATGCTGATACTGGAGTTGGATTGAATATGAACATTGAGCACCAGTGTATTGCGACAGGCAGGTGCTTGTTTTCTTTCTGAACGTGTACAGGAACACGTTATCCTCTTTTTCACGCCTGACTGCCTGATACAGTGAGTGGCCAGACGGCTGTGGCCTGAGCTGATCACTGTTTTGAAAAGGGATTTATCTGTGGCTGCTGATCAGCACTCTGTGCCTCTGTTCTCAGCGCTGCAATACATAAACTGATTTCTCTTTGACGTATAGACTTCTACATTATAACGTAGTACAATGTTCATTAGTTCACTTTTTTTTTTTATTACAAACAAAGTTCTTTCACAGTTCATACTGTCCCAACAGACAATAAAAGGGCTAAAGATGTTTGTTTTGAATTGATACAGTTTATTGACAGGAAAAAGTGTCACAAGCACAAAGGAATAACGTTAATAATTTACAGATGTTCCCCTACATGTTTTAGAATTATGTAAAATCAGCTAAAAAACAATGCTCAACCATTAAGAGCACAAGATGTTCCCCAAACACACAAAGCGTGACAGAGCAGGGAAAAGAGAAGAGGTGGACTGAGGAAATGAGCTTAGCAGGGCAACATCACAGTGTTTCTCACTGAAGGTGGAGAGCTTGCATAGTCGTGGATGCGATATGGAGTGAAAATGTTGGACCACAGCAATTTTAGGAAGCAGCATCAAGTCTCTCCTCCCTGTAATACACTCATACTCTGGATTACAGGCAGCTGAGCTGAGTAAAATGGTATAGTCCATTTAGTAATTCCTTTGAGTCATAGTTTTGAAAATGAAGGTCCTAGACTGGCCATTTCATCCTCTGTTGCTCCCAAAAACAGCCTGATCAGTGCCTGTACCCATTGTGGCCTCCTTGATGATCAACTGCGAATTCTGGTCTGCACTTAACCATCAGAAATAGTCATTCAAAATGCCACTGAGAAAAAGGTAGTGAACCATGAGGTACAGTGGCATTAGGTGTAAAATAAAGGAAAATGAAAAACAATGACAGCAAACATGCTAAGAAGTACAGAAAAAAAATAGCTGAACAGTACAGAAACGTACAATGACCCTCTGTGACTCTCCCCAGTAAGAGAGGACCAAAGTCAGTGTTTCTCAAACCAAACATCTCTGCTTCCATGTTCTAAACCCTTGAAAGGTTCATCCACTAGTTGATAAGTCAAGTCAGGCGTGCTTGAGGAGAAGTAAATCTGAACCTATGTAGACTACGCACTGAACTGGATTTGAGAAACACTGAGCTAGGCAAAGGGATAAAGATTTGGTACCAATGCTCCAAACAAAAACCAAACCACAATCAAAACAAAAAAATCTCTCAGAATTCTGCATCAAACATGATGAAAAGTCTCAAGTATCAGCAGCAGCAGCGGATAACAACCTACAAGAAAAGATAAATAACAAGGAAAAACTAAAATACTGGTTAGATGCGAAGTCTCAACTGGCATCTTTCTCGTCCAAAGTCTTGAACAAAAAGGGAATAGTTAAATGGAATTAAAAACGTGTCCAGAAAACACACCAGCTACCACTATGTCTCACCAAAAACCAGCAAGCCTGTTCATTTAGTGGATTAGTTTCTAAACACACAAGAGGTAGAACTACAGCACACACAAGCATGCTGGCACACACTCTCTTACAGTCACTCACTCCCACACACACCTTTTTTCTCATTCAGAGTTCAGATCAACCCATCAAATCATAAGTGGACCTGTTTGTATGTTTGGCTTATGTGACAGTATCACTGCCATGGCAGATCTAGTGAAAGGTGAGATGAAATACTCTTACTCTGTTCCAGGAACACAAGCAGTTTCACTTCAACTAAGAAATTAACTATATTAAAAGGTAGTGTTGGGTTGTTACAATCAACCAATAAAAAAGGCAATCAACCCTTTTAAAATAGAAACTACAAAACATATCACTGATTGACTATGATCCTTAAAAACAAGTGGGGGAAAAAAAACAGCACTCATACTTGTTCTCTAAAACATCAGAAATACACCATTGCTTTCTGTTGATTATCAAAAACAAAATCCCTATTTCTGCTGAACAGTAGGTTGAGCAACTGCATATGTCTGTATGGGAGTGTTTTTGGGGCTCTTTAGCAGAGCACTAGTGATATTTTTAGTGGGGGTTAATCTCTGTGTACAACTGGCACCCACTGGTTTTAACTGCATTTGGTTAGCATTCGAGGGTAAAAGGTAAGTACGTAAAAGGTATGGAGACTATACTGCACATGCTGAAAATAAAGTGTTAATTTCCACCTCCACACATTTTGCAATTCAAGGCACAGAGACTGCATGAAACGAGACATGAAAAAAGGGGATAAATAAATCTCACAACTAAAAAAATAAAAAATTACAATAATATTAAAAAAATCTCACACTTTTCCCATGTCTGAGGGCACTAAAATGAGAACATGTTCTAGTTTAGGATTGTTCATAAATTATACCCCATAGTACAAGAAGCAGGGTTCAGGCCGTTAGAAATCTTCTACTGTAATGTCTTATGGTACGAACCATTGTACAGTTTCTTCAGTAGTGGTTTAATATCTTAGCATGTTTGGTAACAATTTGAACTTAGCAGAATGCACTTAGTGTTCCAATTTGGAGAATTGTAGAATGTGTGTGTGCATGTCTGAATCCTTGTCTTTTAGGGAGGGAAAAAAACAAAACGCAGAATCAATTAACCTTTGTAAAGTACATAAACTTAAAAGCACCTCCAGCTCAGAAAACAACCGCTCGCAAACAGAGACTTAATCAACCTCAGGCAACTACAAACATACAATACATTGTAAACAAGATTGAATGGAAACACTCAAAAATGTAAAACAAAAAACAAAACAACAACAAAAAAAAAACATTTCAGTTTTTTGCATCCTAATAGGTCACTGCATGGAGGCTTCCTTTTCTTCACATTAGATTTGCAACGGAATCTTCACAGTATTCCACAGCAGCTGTCCCTTCACCTGTGCAGAAATGTGGGGTCCCGTAAGGAACAACCTGGAAAGACAGAATAGGTAAAAATGTTCAAGAAATATCGCTAAATACCACTAGATCACTGAATTAATGTCATTAAGAAGCTGAAAAACAAATATTGCTAAATACAGGCTGCGAGAAAGCCAACACCCCTGCACAAGTTCTGTGTAAGCAAGTTCTACACTAGAATACCTTTGTGTACCATCAGCTACTCAAATTAGTCTATACTATTGCCAAAACAACCTGACTACTACTTTTGACAAAGCCTTTTGATTTCTGCAAAGTATTTTAGGATAACATTTTATGATAAGGGATGCATGCTCAAAATCAGCTGATTCATTGTAATAAACAGCATCTTACTTCCAATGTGGCACACAATTTTTTTTCTCGGAATTAAAAACAGCAAATGTCACCCATTTAACAGCAAATAATGTACCTCATTCACCAGTATCTTCCTATGTTATTTTCTTAAAAATCTTATTGAGAAAGAAGAAGGTCTAAAGAAGAAGACTACGTCAGATTCATGACATGTTCTTAAAGCGCAGAACACTTTCATGCTCTTGAGTAAGTAGTGAAAACTGTGTAAGTGGATTTTAAGACATTTCTTCTTAAGAACAGTTGGTGAATGAGGCCCAATGTTCTTTAGATTGCAACTTTGGCCAACAGAAACTACTGGAACTGTGCTAGTGTGATCCATGCATTCATTTAGCCCCCACAGCGTGAGCCTGGAGTTATAATAACAAAAAGGCTACTAACAATCGACCACTGGCCAATTTGGCTGCAAAAAAATTTGAATTAGAATCGGCCATAAAAATTCATGAACAGTGTATCCCTACTTAAGATGTCAATGTGCAGGACTGTTAGCTTGCATGTAGCATATATGTAGCAGTATTCCTACTTTGACTACTTAACCATTCTGTGTTAACAACCATACTGGAAAGTGTGATAAGAGCACCATTTTTGTTTCTCAATAGAAAAACACAGCTTAAAATCGAGGACTAGTTTGAGTGTTAATGCCAGCTCACCCTCAGATGTCTATGGGCAATAAACAATCAAAATAAATACAGCATGGTGTCAGCACCTAGCCTGTGACTTCATCAGCACAGTAAAGAAAGAGTGAGACGATCTTGTTCCCTCTTTAATCCTCTTAACTGTATACAGTAATGACGAGCCCCCTCCCCCTGCACTCTCCACTGCAGCTCAGACTATGTGCTGAGTCATGAACAGCAGGAGAGCAGTTTACTGCAATCACTCTCTCTCTGTGTCTCTCTCACACCCGTTTTGCTGTCTGCTCCTTGTAGATTTGTGTACAGCTCAAAACTGCTTCAAATCACCAGAGAAAATGTTCCTGACTGACAATTTCAGATTTGCTTAATGCTTTCTGAAAATAATGTCTTTGTGCCCAACAGATAGTATTCAATACTTTAAGCTTGTATCTCTATTACCATGTAAGATACAGAGGCTCTAGATGACCACTATGGAAAATGTGCAAACTTCTATAATCCATTACTATGCCAAAAGTCATACAGACATATAGACAGTGGGCCAAGGCTGCTCTCAAACAAAATCAATCTCTCAAAATTTTCAGCAAGTCATAAAATGACAAATATGCATCTTTGTATCATCTTTGAATTAAACACACTTTAAATGACACAAATTTACCTATTGTTCTTATCAATTTAACAAAGTTCCCTCTGAAGGACACCTGAAGATAACAAAATAAATAACACCTTAAATCAATCTTTGTACGATGTGTTTTACCTCATTATTTACTAGTCTGTGAAAAAGCGTTAATTGTCAGGGTGTTGAATCTGTGTGCTAATCACCACTGTTCTCATTGGCCATCTCTATGGAGAGGGCAGAGTATGGGGTGTGGCCTTTGTGCAGTAGTGCAGACTTAGTGCAAATTATCCTGCAGAACGTATGTTAACATCAATGTACTGAATCAGTAAAAAGAATGTACTGAATCAGTCACTAACAGAAATGTAACATTTTCTATGTGACATTACATCACTATTTTACAGTCCTGTCCTTCTGATACATCTGTATGTGAAACAGCAGCTGGTTTGGTGAAGTAAAAGGGTGAGTGGGCACGGATATTTGAGTGGGGCGGGACATTTGCTTGATATGACGTAACAAATCTAAAGAGACTGCAGAATCAGAGGCGTTCTGTAAAAGTGAAATATGCCAAAATGGTGTATTTTTCAGATTTTAGATATAAAGGCATGTAACATACAAGTAAACTGGCAAGGAAAATGTAGTTTCTTTACAAGGTCTCCTTTGAATCAAACAATAATCCTTAAATATTTTCATTCATCTTGCATCATTAGTTCAAAAGACTAAACCTAAACTCAGCTTAACCCTAACCTAGTCCTAACTCTAACCCAAACCATAAACCTGATTTCAGACCTAACCCCATCTTTAATCTCAACAACTTATAGATGAAATTTAACTCTTTAAGGAAAAAAGGACAAATGTGGTGTTCTGAAAAAATAAAAATAATCACTTGCCCTTGGGGACCAGCAAAAGATCTCCACAACAAGTATAAACTAGATGGAAACATGTATGTACACAAGTTACTAATATGGTTTCAAAACCAAGCATCCACCCATCCACACTCACACAAAGGGCTGTGGTGAATGGGCCTGACTGCGGCATTCTCTTGCTTGCCCCAGCAACAGTGGTATGTGTGGTGAGGGGAAGGAGCGGGGGATGGGGAAAGGAGGTGAACAGCAGACAGCTGTAATGTTCTCATTATGGCTGAGAGCCTCCCCACCCTGCCCTGCTCTCCTTCAAAAACAAGCCTTCCACAAATGCTACACACTAATTGGTCAAGACAACCAACACCACTCATAAAAGCATTATGGTGACGCAGACTGTGGCACATTATTAAACCACTTTAATATTAGCTCATTAGCACATTACTATACTGCAAAGCTCTGAAGTTTCCAGTCAGTATAGGCACATTTTCTACCCAAACTGCCAAAATGCCCCATTTTAGATTCCTAAAGACAATGTATGATAGAGTCAAACTCTCAGACCGCCACTCCCTGTCACCTGCTCTGCCAGCTGAAGAGTCCCGCAGGGCTTTAGCACAGGGAGGGAGAAGGAGGGATGAGAGAGAGAGAGGAAGATGAGAGAGAGAGGAATATGAGTGAGAGAGAGAGAGAGAGAGAGAGAGAGAGAGAGAGAGAGAGAGAGGGAGAGAGACAGAGAGAGAGAGAGAGAGAGAGAGAGGCAGTGGGGGTGAATAGGTTCAGTTGCATAACAGCAATCCCAGCATGCAATTCTAAAAACAAAAGAATCCCCTCAACACGCAAACAGATGAGGAAGTTGGAGGACCTTTCTATAGTGGTGGGAGACATGGCAAAAATATATCACAATACTTAAAGACATGGTCATGATATACAATATGTATCACAGTATTTTGGCACACAGACACAATGCATTAGTAATGTCATATTTAAAAACAACCATCAAAAATCTTTCCGTGTACAGTGACTTTTCATTCATTTTGTATAATGTGCTACACTAAATCCAGTTAAACAGCACTAATTATGATCTTTTTCTAACGAAACATGCAGTCAATCAGTGTTCTGTAAATACTGACGATATCCTCAGTGTACTCAGTAAAGCATATTGTTAAAATAAAACTAATCACAATAAATATCACAACTATAACAATAAAAATTTGTCATATTGCCCTTATGTCCCTACACCCACAGTTACTACTAAAGACATATGAGTGTCTTTAACGATACCAAACACTAAAAAACTAAGTTTATGGGTTTAAAAGGTCTATCAATGCACATTTTATACTACAATAAGGTTCATCGTAGGTGAACAAATTTAGAAAGTCTGAATTAAAAAAAATATATATTCATTGTATTTTATAGCCTTTGAAAAATGTGATAAAATGTGCTGATTCTGAAACTCTTGCTTTTTTCCATTCCAATTTGTTTGCATACCTGAGAAAAATCAATCGATTGTGAGCCATATTGTATCCTGTGAAAATGTTTTCAAGTATCGTGAAGTTATGTTTTGCCATATCACTCAACTTTAGCTGCAATTAGGGATCATCTATATAACTGATTACTTTATCAACTAATAATTGTTTAATTGGCTATTTCATCCATGATGCTTTCTATCTTTTCCTCTCACTTTGTCCTACCATCATTCAAACTTCTGTCCATGTGATAAACAAATTGTTCTATTGTAGTACAATGAAACAGTATAAGCCACACTATCGCCAACAATTTCTGTACTACAAACTACTGGAATGACCGCGTGCATCATATGAACATCACAGAAAATTACAGAGCACTTTTAAACAGAGCACCCCCCCCCTCCCCCATCACCAGCGTTGTCGATGATATTTGCCTATAACAGCTAATCTGTGCAGCCCAGCTGTTCAGGCATGCTTGTGCGCCCCAAACCTGTAAAGTGAAAAGCATACCTGGGTGAGCACGCGGGAGGAGTCTGGGTTCAGGCAGCACAGGTGACCTGCCCCATCCTGCTATGCAGCTCCAGCGCGTCGGGCCGATCCTGAGGGTTAACGGCCAGCATGTCCTGCAGAAGTTTCCGGAGCGCATCAGACATTTGCGAGCGGCGGCGCTGAGGAATGCTCAGCACCATCTTTGGGTTCTCCAGCAGAGCCTCTCCCACTGGCACGATGTCTGCACCCTGCCGCACATACGTGCCCAGCAGCTCCCGCTTTGACTCTGCGTCTATGAATGTGATCCGTTCAATCATGGCCCAGATTATGATTCCCAGGGCAAAAATATCAGCCTTGGCTGTGTAGTGGCCTTCCCACACCTCAGGGGCCATGTAGAAGTCTGAACCACATGCTGATGACAGCCAAAACTTGTTGATGTTATTTTTGTTCTTGTTGTCCTCTGTCTCATCAGAAGCACGACAGCCTGACCCCATCCCCAGGCCTGCACATACTTTGCTCAGGCCAAAGTCAGCCACCTTTAGCACGGGTGTGCCCGAGCGTTCAGAAATCAGAATATTGTCTGGTTTGAGGTCCCTGTGCACAATGTTGTTCTGGTGCAGGAAGGCCACAGCACTGCTTAGCTGCAGCATGAAGCTGGCATTGGTGTGCGGGTCGGGCCGACGGGACAAGATGAACTGATTCAGGTCTCCTCCCTCGCAGAACTCCATCACAAACCACAAGTAGCACGGCTCCTGGGGACTGGACAGCACCCGCTCACCTGCACACAGACATGAATATATGAGGCAACTGAACAATCCAAATCCATTGAAGTGATTTGAAAAAAGGTAATTGTTCTATCAGAAATTATTCAATAATGTAAACTGTTATCTACTTCATTACATTCCTTTAAAGATTTCTATGCAATGAAACAAACAGGACACAAACCTTTTGAGATGACAAAATTATGGACATTCGATATAGTAATGTCAAGTTGTAGTTTTGCAGCCAAAAAAAGCAAAAATATCAATAACCATTTATTAACAAAAACATTCTTCCTAGATGATGCTTTTCAAAAATGTGGGTCATTCCATTTATTAGCCTCTTTCGAACAGATTCAGGCTGATGCAAATGTGATATAATGAGGCCCTGCTATCAGAGAATCACTGCAACTGAACTAGCTAGACTTTTAATTGATGGACTGATTAAATGAGTTATATGTTGAACCAATCCTTAAAATACACACTGTATCCTTGAACTGTCAGTCCTGGAATGAGATCTGCTAAAATACCGAGGGAAAATGTTGAAAGGAAAACAATATTTGTAAGCACTTTACATGGTTTATAAGTTTACATGTTCAGTGTTTGTCATAAAACGCAGACTCATTTTAATCCAAAATTTAGAAATTTAATGAGACTGGGGTCAACACAAATGTGACGCGAAACAAAACATGCAAACACGTTATCTGTTTCCTGAAGTGAGAGAAGAAAGCTGGGTAAGATGGTGGCCGTGAGTAAGAGAGATTGAAGGCAGGAAGGGAGTGAGGAAGGGAAGAGTGTTGTTGACTGCTGCTCTGTCATTAGTGCCAGCAGGCTGACTTGCTGTGAAACCAGTTTAAGGCTGTTTGTTTTTGACTCTTTCTGAATGCATACAACTCGTCAGCCGTCCAAACCCCAACCACACTGAAAGTCATTAGATTACAACACATTTAAGCCTACAGGTCTAAATCTAAATCATTTTAGTCTGGAGAGTACTTTAGTTGTTTATTTCTGTTTCACAAGAATGATGATGCATCATTTACAGCGCATTCATTACTAAACATTCCCAGTCATTTAAAACACCTTTATCCAAATTAGAACTAAGACTAGTCTTACTAAGAGGAACAAAAAAGTTTCTGATGACAGCTCTGTCCAAATGTCCACACTGATGGCCATCAACTCACCTCCATACTACACACAACACATTTTTTAAAAGGCCAGATCACAGAAGAAGACAGACATATCCTGCACATCACATGCAGTAACTGTACTGCAGCCTGGTTTTGTTTGGATATTAAGACATCCGTAAAACTGCAGCACTTCCTCCAGTTTTTAAGATGGAGTTTAGCCTAAATGCGTTATAGACAATAGTAAGATATTTCTGTGTATATATAACACTAAAAAAGCAATGGTGGGGAGCTCCTCTTCATTGTTCATCCTTTTATGACCTCTAAAATCAGTTTGGGGAAAGGCTGTGTGAACAATGGGGTCACTATTCATCAACAACAGTGTTGACAAAGCAGAAGCTGTGTGTTGAGATATGTTTTAAGATGACCTGTTAAAAACAAAATTACGTAAGTAATCAGGTCAACCCATTCACTCGAGCCACTCGGGGGCGGACACTGCTCCCTGACCCTCTTCCCAAAAATCAAGGTTGCATAACAAAGCTTGACCCGCATTTACCCTTTTTTAAAACACAGAAAACTGTTCACAACAGGCTACGTGGCTTCCATTACTAGCCATCCTCAAGTGTAGCAACAACCACAGTTTCACATTCACTCATATTCGTTTTATCCAGTTTGGGCCAATTTCCACCTCAAACAAAGCAGATCCCACTCTTCTCCAGTAAGGCTTTAGTCACTAAACAAGCAGGAAGTCAAAAGTTAGCATTTGACTGCTGTCATGAAATTAGCTTGAGAGCTAAATATAACAAAGAGAGAGAGAGAGAGCGAGAGAGAGAGCACACAGGCCAGGGCTGACGTCATATGTAGGTTAAATCCTGAATCCACCACTAACTCAATTTACTTCGTTGTTTCCAAACGAAACAACACATTTTCTGTAAAAGGCGATATAAAGACCATGAGAAGAGCTTTAAGTTACTCCCACCTTTTAGGGAAGTCTCCACCAGGCGTAAGTACTGCCTGGAGCGCTTGTTGCCGTGACTCATTTTCTGCGCCATGCCGCTCCGCTGCAGCACGCACTCCTCCAGGTGGACCACGTTCTCGTGCCGTTTCTCGAGGCTCGCGAGGGCCCAGAATTCAGCCAGCGCCAGCTCCACGTTCTCGGGGGCGTCGCAGCGCAGCTTCTTCACGGCCACCAGAGCGCCAGACCTCCGCGCTATGGCCTCGTACACCACCCCGTAACTGCCTCTGCCGATCTCCCGGACCAGGCTGTACCGCGGCGCCACGACCTTCCGCTCCAGAAGGTCGTTTTTGAGGCGCTCGTCCTCCATCGTGTCATTGTCGTCCACGTTCCCGACGCTTAGCGCGCGCAGCACGGTACTGCCCGACCCGGTGCGGGAGCTCGACCTCTCGCGGGCTCTCGTCAGCCGTCTTCGCTCTCTGTCCCCTGCGTCCATTACATCTCCTCACGTCGCGAGCGCACTTTCGGGAGTTCCTTCCGCACACATAGCTAGACCAGAACAGCCGCGGACTTGTTTTGACAACGCAGGTGTTCGCGGCCGCTTTGTTTTGCTCTCAAAGACATGCTAGACCGCTGAGCACTTCAGCTCAGTTTGAACTGAATGAGGCTCGAATGAGGTGAGAGCATGGCCGGAGCAGCCCACTTACCCAGGCGGGGGGTTTATCCGTGTAGCGAATCTTCAACTTAAGTCAACTTTATTATTAGGGCTGGGACCAAAGATAAACTTGTCAACAAAACTTGTCATTTACATGGTTTTTAAAAATATCGAACGGATTCTTATAATTTTTATAATATTTTATTCTGTAATTCAGCGCAGTCGAGGTTTTAAAGGGGAGTTCCACTGATTTTTCAAAGTTTCTGGGTAGTGGTTAAGATGTAAACAAAGTCATTCAGATGGGTTTAATGTGAAATAATTCATTTGCAGAGATGTCCACAATGCAAATATAGCCAATTTGTTTACTATCCAAATCACCATTGAACCCACACCTGTCTTCTAAGGGTTTTTAAGGTAACATTGACAAGGTTAAAATAACGGTCCACCTAAAAAAAAAAAAAAAATTGGGGACTATTTTGCTTTAGAACACCCTTCATATAACCCTCCACCATGAATGGATTAAAATAAGAAAAATATGATTAAAATACGTTTTAGACCGTTCTTCTGGCCTTAGCTAAAATAAAATAAGTATGATAATGAAAAATGTCACATTGATTTATTTTATTGATTTGTTTAATGTTAATACTCTGATTCACAATCAAATTTGGGTTGTCTATTGTTTTGATAAGGTGTTTTATTTTAATATGGTATATTAAGTGATAAAACCTCATTGTAGCCATATGTTTTGGTTGATTTGAAAAATGTCTTCAGACTCAGGCAAGCTCAGGGAACACATGGACCAAAGGTGATTAAAATTTTAGATGTGAACATTAAAGAGTTAAAATAATGGCTTATTTTGCCATCTTACTAGCGGCAGGCAACAACCGGCTACAACACCTGACTGACAACCCCACCCCCCCCCGAGTTACACCAGAATGGTTCGACCCGTGCACGTCATGTACACGTGCGCCTGGTTGTGTGTCGCCTGCACGTGGGTAAACACGCTGAACGGAGTAGTTCGTGCTCATAGTGCAGAGCTCTAACCGTGAAAAATTACATACAGAAGAAAAAAATAATAAAGATTTGTCACTGTGGTTACGAATAAAGCAAGTCTGGACCAGGCGAGTCGCTGATATTAGCGACTACGTGAAGTACATCACTGCTTATCGCGCCTTGGCAAGTAAGTTAGCAATCAGTTGCTAATATATCGGTCCTCGTAGATAGATCTGAAGTCAAAGGGTGAATTATAATAGTCCGTGCTGAAAAAAGTAGATCTTGATACCTCAATTTACTATAAACACGAGGATCAGGAGGGATTTCAGATAAAGTGGATGTTAATATATGAAAACTTAATGACGCCTACGAAAACAGCTCTTACTGATTAGACAGATACACAATATGTCCAAAAGTGTGTGGACACCTGTACATCGCACCCATATGAGCTTGTTGGACATCCTAGTTCAAAACCATTGGCATTAATATGGAGTTGGACCTTTGCAGCTATAAAATGATTGTCCGCTTTTCTGGGAAGGCATTCTGTAACATTTTGAAGTGTGTCTGTGGGAATTTGTGCTCGTTCACTCAAAAGAGCATTTGTGAGGTCAGGTACTGATGCTGGACAAGCCTGGCTCGATGTTCCAGTTCATCCCAAAGGTGTTCAGTGGTGTTGAGGTCAGGCCACTGGAGTCAAAACCATGAAGCTCGCTATGCGCACTGGGGCACAGTAATGCTGGAACAGGAAATGGCCTTTCCCAAACTGTTCCCACAAAGTTGGAAGTGTTATTGTCTAAAATGTCTTTGAACGCTGTAGCATTAACATTATCCTTCACTGGCAGGGGCCGAGCCCAGACTCTGAAAGGAAGCCCCAAAACAGCCTCAGACTGTTATCCATAATTCACTGAATCGTTGGCTCCATGCATTCCGAAAGGCAGTGTTCTCCTGATATCTGTTAAACCCAGATTTGTCCATCAGGCTGCTAGATAGTGAAGCGTGATTCATCACTCCAGAGAACACCGCTCTGGAGTCCAGTAACAGTGTGCTTTACACCACTCCTGATGAAACTTAGCATTGTGCATAGTGATCTTAGGCTTGTGTGCAGCTGCTCATCCATGGAAACCCATTTCATGAAGCTCCCAGCACACAGTTCTTTTGCTGATGTTGCTTCTTCCAGATGCAGTTTGGAGCTCTGTAGTGAGTGATGCAACAGAGGATAGGTGGTGTGTAGTTCAGCACTCGGTGGACCCACTCAGGAAGTACTACAGGATAAAAAAAAAGCAGGACTACAAGATAGTATGTTTTGATTGCTGTCAGACAGCACTACGTGGCTGTTGGAGGGTAAAACTGCTATACGTTATTACAGTAGTATTGTACAGCACTATAGAAATCTTATAGGCTTTTGGAGTAGTGATATAGATATTGCTGTAGGAGTTTTACTGACAAAACACAAGCCTATTCCCACAGGTTTTGTTTAAACTAGGGCTGACCAGTCGTATCTGCAAAGGGCCAGTGCAGCAGCAGGTTTTCATTCCAACAAAGCAGGTGCACCCCTGATTTAAGCTGTTGGACAAAGACTCATTGGGCCTCATTTACCAACATCTTCAAGTTTTTTTTCCTTAAATTTGTTCTAAGAAATGTCCTCAGAAAAAGTCTACGTCACATTCATGACGTGTTCTTCAACCACAGAACTGTTCACACCTTTGTGCTCTTGAGTGAGTGTAGATTCTGTTCTTACAGATAAGAAAACACTGGTCAATGTCAGAATCTTCATAAAAACTGCATAAGTGGGTTTTAAGAAGAAAGTTCTTCTTAAGAATGGTTGGTGAATGTGGCCTAATGTTTCTGGTTCACTCTAAAAGCAGATGAGCTAAAAAACAGCACATTCTGTCTCTAACTAGACACATCAGTGTGTTCAGTTGAAGACGACACATTTTGAGTTACTTGAAACCCAAAATGTGTTGAAATATTTCTGTATCCTGTTACAGAAAACACATTTTCTGTTACTTTTAACACATAATGTGTTAAACCAGAAGACAACATGACACAAAGAGTGTTAAAACAGGTAACACAAGTAAGAGTGATGTCATTTAACGCATCACTTTTTAGAGTGTAACCATAAACACTCAGAGGTGCTTAAGTAAAGGGAATGGTTCTATTCAGAACCACAAGTTGGTAAAATGGTTCTTCAGATTGATGGAGAATGTGTTGTAGATGGTTCTATATAGAACCTTTTTGAAAATGGGTCTATATAGCACTAAACAGGGTTCTTCTATTGTTACAAGTTTAACACCATAGCATTAGAAGAACCCTTTTTGGGGCGATATAGAACCATTTTTAAGAAGGTTTTATATAGAACCATATTCAACACATTCTCCATTTATCTGACGAGCGATTTCACCATACCAAGAACAATTTAAGCATAAAATGATCCATCTTTTTTAAGAGTGTATAAGTGGATCTCTTCTTAAACACAATTTGGCGCTGTATAAAACTAAGCTGTGGCCACAACTGACCAGTACGCGTATACGATCTACCGTCACTCTTGTATTACAGTGATTGACTAGCGCCACCTGGTGGCTCCAATGTAGCATTAAGTAAATCATAAATAAAAGGGTAATAAGGATGTTACCAACTCAAACAATGGAATAATGTGTGAATGTTTGCCTGGTTTGTGTTTATACACAACTCCCGTAAACAAATCTTTATTTGTTTACATTGCAAACACACATAAAATAAAATAGGGCATTACTATTCTCCTTTTTACCATATAATTGTGCCATTCATGCCTAAAACAGTAAATCAAACAGTGTCTTAGAGAATAAAGTAAGGCAGGAACAAGATTTAGTCATATTCACATCTGGCTGAAGAGCATAATAAAATTTATACAAAAATTGAAAATACAAAATAATATATTAAATGATTAATATAAATAATTTAACCCGGTTCATCTCATCAGTCACAACTGTGACCAACATTTTGTTTTCAGTTTGTAAAGCTGTAAAAGAGAGTAAATGTGTTTTCTACTGGACTGTAAATTATACATTTCATTAAAGGTGGTGAAAATTTGGTGACATAATTCGTCACATAACCAGAGTCATTTACTTCAAGCACCTGATAAAGATGGTGTCTGTATCAGAGATCTACAAAAAGAAGTAAGGAAAACATTATAGAATACAATTCCAACTACTGAAACTGGAACATTTAATCTTAAAAAGGTCTATAATTAATATTCTAACAAGATTGTACTGCCAATTTACTAACATGCTCGCAGGAGATATAAACATGTGAATGATCACTGTGACTGGTGGGATAACAGCAATGGTGGATGAAGTACACAAAACATGTACTTGAGTTAAAGTAGAGATACCTAAAGTAAAATATTACTCTAGTAAAAGTAGGAGTCCTCCCTTTAGAAATCCACTTAGAGTAAAAGTACAAAAGTATTTGCCTTTGAATGTACTTAAGTATCGAAAGTGAAAGTACTAAAAGATTAATTATGACTCTAATGTCCTATTATCATTTTTTAACAAGACTCTTGCTTCATTAACTCATTTTAGGAGAAAATACTCCAGTGTCACTCTTGGTAAACCAATCTTTTAATAGAATGTCATTAATTAGTCTGACACTGATGTTAATCAAAATTATCATAAGCACAAAAGACTGAAGGCAAACAATTTATTAAACAATTTCTATTAGGTAGAACCAAGTGGCTATGAAGTTTCGGTTTAAGATTTAAGTTTAATAAAACTTGCTTTAAACACAGGTTCACAAATGAGTTTTACTTTACTATATTGCATCTGTAGGTCTCTGTTCATAAACATAAACTAGCCAAAACAAATTTACTATAAAAGGAAATATTGTTTGTATAAATTCAGAAAAAAGACATGCCAGTCACAACTGCATATGTGTACATATTTCTATATTGTGATCTATTTACCCACAAAGTCGAGAACAATATGTTACATCTGTTCTCTAATTCTTTGATGTGTGATTGTCAGTC